ATAAACATCGTCGCAATGTAGCCGCAAAACACATCATTGACGACGTGTGCATGCAGAAGCTGTACAAAGACACCTTTTCAAAACATTCGTGGAGGGCCACTGTGGCGTATGTTCGGAATACCATTCAAGGCAAGACCCGAATAAATACGTTCATCAAATTAGAGATGGGCAGTCTCAAATCGACCCTGGAGAGGCACTTCCGGGCGTTCAATGATCCGATCACGTTAACTGAAACTAACTGCGACAAGTTTGAGCACCTTGGGATCGTTGTAATGAATTTGGCGAGTAATATTTTAGAATAGGCCGTGTTCCAACGTTACGCTCAGAAGACAATCTCAGAGAACCTACCATTTGTTGTGACGCGGGTCGTAATATCGACAATTCTGCTAACAATGAAACGGTATCATGTTTTTCATACGCTCTAAGACAAGGCCACAAGAGCAATGCTAGAGGCCATTACCGATTACATACAGAGTTCTGGCCCGGATCTAGAGATCTACTCCTCAATGCTTGGCTAGGCGCACCGGGGCCCTTGAGCTTAAGGGGCCCCCAAGCTCAGGGGCCCTGACTCTGACCAGAAAATCACCAAAAAATCTCTCACTCCACACTTCTGTTTTTAATGCAAGCATGAATTCGACTTGTATAATTAGGCGTCGCTTAAAGTATTCTTCATAAAATTCTATGGAGAAACGGCTGAAGTAACGTTCCAAACGGTAAAACATGATTTTCGGAGGGTTTGTGAAACAATTTCAGATGAACCGAAAGGGCACTGCACTGCAGAGTGGGGGTAAGCAACTGAAAATGAATTTCTTCATTCTGGCTATAATAATGATCCGATCTGATTCTGATTGGGCAATCCGGTCACTCTCTCCGATAAAATTAAAATTAATATTGTGCCTACCACAGAAGGGGGAGGGTCGAAACTTAACTTAAGGTCATTCCCCTGTACATAAAACCTTTTTTAGCAAAAGACAGCTTAAAAGGAAGAGTACGGTGAGCTTAGTTCATAAAAATGTTTCTAATAGTTTGACAGGAATTGAGCCTGTAACAAATCCTGTCGCAGATACTGTAAAAGATCCTCTCACGGATACTGAAAATTCAGTAACTGAATTGAATTTATCCATAAATTACCCATTCTTGAGCGGCAGTAATTCGCTATATATATATTGCCTTCCGAATCAAATATTCGGAATTCAATGCCACTCAGGAAATTCGTACCAGGCTTTGAGGAAAAACATGTAAGCCATTTGTCGAAAATTGTAGAAAACATGAGTCCAGTCGAAAGGAATTGTGTCATAATATATGACGAAATGAAGATTACTCCAAATATCGATTATGTACCCCAACTTGACCAGGCTGTTGGGTTTATTGATCTAGGAGAAGATCTTTCGGATAATGACCAATACCCTCATGTAGCAACTAAAGCGCTCTTTTTCATGATAAGAGGCGTTAATACAAAATGGGAATTTATTGTTGGGATTGTATTTACTTTCTCACAAACAACTGGTGGAGAAGTAGAAAAAATTATTACTAGAGCACATGAAAGTTGTACCAAGGTGGGTCTCAACGTTCGTGTAATAATCTGCGATCGAAACTCAATAAACATAGCCAGCTTTGAACTGTGTTATCACTAAAAATAGCAAAGGCAACCACTTGCCTCCTGTTATATATGACAATGTTCACATTTTTGGAAGGGTTAGAGCGAACTTTTTGGAGTTTGATGTCGAAAAACCTGATGGTGTAGCGAAATCATCAATTATTGATCATTTTTATAAAATTGATAAAGCCAATACAGTTCGCCTAGCACCTAAATTAACACAAACCCACATCGCTCCTCGACTATTTGATTTATTGGTAGCTAATATATTTTTAAATGTATTTTCTAACACAGTCAGCTCTGAAATTCAAATCTGTGCTAATCTGGGATTATTTGAAGACTCTGCAGCGGCTATAGCCACAGCAAAGTTTCTAAAAGTTATGAATGATTGGTTCGACTTGTTGAATCAGGGACAATAAAGTTTAGATGGCAAATATCAAAATGAAATGGAGAAATTTATTAAATATTTGCAAAAAGTTAGATTTTGTCCCATTCAACAAACTGGAGAAAGTCCAAGAACTAAAGTTTTAGATCACCTCATTAGTACTTCCGAAAATATAGTCGCTGTTTCCGAACTGATCTTAGACACTGAGGATGTTAATGTTATTAGCACTAATTGCAATAGCCAAGATCCTCTTGAAAATTTGTTCAAATCAATTAATTTCAGACATGGAATGGTTACTGCAACTCAATTGTTGATTTGCTTAAAAAATCTGTGGTCCGACGAAATAATAACAAAAGAAACAGGAACAATACTCGAATTATTTCAACGTGATTTTTCAAATATATTTCAAATGAAAATGAAATGGAAAGCAACATTTTTGATGCTGATGATATTTTGTTCGCCAGTGCGTTAGATACAGTCCCAATTTATTCTTCTTGGTTCAAATGCAAAAATTACCAAGGAAAGAACAAAAGCATTGGAATAAAATCAATACAAATAATGCTGGGCAAAATTTACAAAAAATTAAACATGGAAAAATGTTCTGAATGTGAGCTTAGTAATATTATATTAGATATAACATAAGCTCACCCCCAGATTTTTAGTACATTTTTTCACAAAACTCCAAAGGTGCGAAATATTTTTTCAAAAATTGTTAAGGAATGTGGGGAAGAGACAAATGTTTCATGTTCCTATTGGTTTGCAAAGTCAAGCCGATGCCGCTTCTCATAGACGAGAAATATTAAAAAATTTAATAAAAGATTTGTTAATTAATCACTGTAAGTGGTTTAAACAATAATTTATTTAATTTAATAAATGACCAACTCTATTTATTAGAGTTTTAACACTAAATAGTGATTTCATAAATACAGAATGACAAACTCTATTTATTAGAGTTTTAACACTAAATAGGGATTTCATAAATACAGAATGACAAACTTCTATTTATTAGAGTTCATAAAAGAGACAGTTCTTATATAAACCAGGATTGTCCGATCTACCATATTTTCAGTTTGGAAAATTAATGATCGCTGATGAGGAAGAGTGGTTTCTTCCGAAACAGTTCTATTAGAGAAATTTGTATATACATACCACATACCTATATATATGTACATATATGTAATTCATGTATTTTTTTTTGCGAGGACTGGCTCACAGGATCAATGGCCTATGAGAAGCCAATGCGTGTTTACAGGCAAATCTCCTCTGGCTGGGAACTTTCTTCATCAATTATTCTGGAAGTGCTGTTTTTTGGGGTTTTTTTTGGGTGCCTTTCGGATGAGGAAGAGGAGAAGTAGTGCAAGCACCATTAAGGATGCCAATTGTATTTGCTTCTAAGTCCTACTCCATATTCTCGCATCACTATTTTAATTTGATTTTGACATTTAATCAAAAAAGGAAACAACAGAAAGAAAGCTGATAATAATTATATATGTATGTATCTACCTACTATATAGACTCAATATTATATAGAAACAAAAACAAAACGTATTAAAAATCGTATAAAAGATCCAAGACACTTTCCGATGCAAGAAAAACAAAACCAGTGGATTTCATTTTCAATTTTACAAATGGTGGGGAACTTTTTCTTTAAGCCCAAGTAATAATGACTCGATTGTAATGAATCGTAAAAAATACGCATAGTATATAGAAATTTAATAGTTCTGTTTGTGGGATACAATTATTAAGCAGGGGATTTAAATCTTTGCGAGTGAGGATCTATCTAAGGCTGGGATATGCGTCAGTCTGTCCAGGATCCTGAGTAACAAGATATTTGTGATTCACGAGGACTTTATCGGGAACGAAATAAGGAACTTTGTCCAATATTGTTTAATTTCTGCTGAGTTACTGCGACATTACTCCTGGTGGACTGCCGATTGACTCCAAAGCGAACATCTAATCGAACTCATTTAGTTCCGGGAGAACTCAGATATATATAGCATTTTTTTTATAATCCTGGCCAGCGCCTTTCCGTCGATTGGCCGCGTGTGTGCTGAGTTCTCGCTTTTCGTTCTTTCTTCGGTCGACGTCTTTCTTTCTTTCGACCTGTGCTGCGTCTTCGAATTCGTTGGTGTTGGTATCTTCACCTGAGGGTATCATTGGTTGTGTCGACTGCTTGTGACGAACCATGGGATCCAATATTTACCATTTAAGAAAACCAGGGCAATCCGGTGATCAAACGAGACTTAACCCACTTCTATTTAAAAAGTTGAGCACCCTTTGTTAAGCCGCGGGAAATAATACTGTTTGTAAAGGCTCCTTGTAGCTCCATACTCCTTCAGCTCTGGGGCCGATGGCGTTCGGCTCTCGGAATGACCGCGTTCGGCCGATGACGTGACACGAGCCGACGGACTGCAAGCATGTATGTGTGTACGTGTAACTCTCCAAATATATGATGGTATGCATAGAATAATTTTTAGCTGCCGAAAACGATTTTGCTTGAGATTTCAGTTTACGTAAAAGTGTGTGTGTGGGCTCTACAATTTTTCGCCGCTTGAACCGAAATTGGTTTTTCGTTTTGTTTTGAGGGTGGCCAGCAAGCTGATGTAGCGACCTGAACTGACCTTCCGCAACATAAATGAGGAATGGTCTGAATGGGTGGGGGTGGGAAATCAATTCAATATATAACAATAAAAAATGTTATATGTTTACACCCATACATTTGCAATGCTCAGCTTGCTTTCGCTTCCCGCCATAGTCATGCATGCCGAATTGCCCAGCTCCCGACCCGAATGCCTCCTTCCTCACAGAGCCGAAGGCCCTGGGAGCTGGGACAGCAAACTCAGCTGCGCCACTTTCGTTGTTTGAACTGGCACATCTATATACTGTATGGTTAGTGGTTCCCGTTAGGAAAATGCGGCTCACAACCGAATAAGGTGAACAAGTCGAACCATTATATACCAGGAAGTTGTTAAAAAATACCAGTATATACCATTATAAAATAAAATACTTTTTGCTCAATTTTGGCATCAAGAAATACCATAAAGTTTTTAAAATACCAAAATGACAATTCAAATAAAGCGTTAAATAGGGCTGTTTTAATTGAAAAGAAACAATTGGCTATCATGCAACCTTCCATCCTGTGGGTGCCGCCACGGGAGAGTCAACCGTCTCCTCTACCAGCAGAGGGGAGCTCCAGCGCATTAGGAAGTAGGCAGAGCCGGACTTATCATTTGTTCCCGACAGACGATTGCCGCCAAAAGGCGTTAGTCCACCCGAGCTGCCGGTGCAACGCTCATTAACATACAAATTGCTGGCAGCCATGCGTAGTTGGTTCAAGCAATGCGAGATCACCTCATCCCGAGTGGCAAAAACGGAGCCGGACAGCGCGTGCTTGGACTGGTGTGCGGCCAGGTTGAGTGCCTCCGCAAACGAGTCATCGGCGTAGACAAATATTGGCAGCAACGGCCCAGCCAGGGGTTCGCTCAGCAGTGGATCCAGCGGATTCATGGTCCGCACAATCGTCGGCTCGACAAAGTAGCCAATTTTATCGTTACAGGTGCCCCCGCACAAAAACTGAGCATCCTTGTTGGACTCCATTAGTTTGCGCATTCGCTCGTAGGCTGCCCGATTAATGACGGGCCCCATTCTGGTGTCTTTCTGGGTGGGATCGCCGACCCTAAATCGTTTCACTGCTTCGATTAGCTGTTCCCGCAGCTCGGTCCACATGGAGGATGGCACGTACATGCGGGACAACGAATTGGCGTACTGTCCGGCATAATTGAAGGCCGCTTCCACGGTGGCCGAACAGACAGCCTCCATCTTGGCACTGCTATGGACAAAGTGAAAGTTCTGGCCGGCACTTTCGGCCACCAGGCGAGGGAAACAGATGTAACGCGGCATCTTATCGCTTACCAGCTTGTGAATGTAGCGATAGTCTTGGACGCTGCCGTGACAATTGACTCCGGCAAAGTGCACGGCATCGGTGATGGTGTCTAGGAAGAGTTTCTTATTGGAGGGCACGAAGTTTAGCACGCCCTTGGGCAGACCAGCCTCCTTGAAGGCCAGGTAGACGAGATAGCTTATGGGGGCCACTTCCAGGACGGGATTCCACAGAACTGCGTTGCCCATGAGCATGGGACACAAAGCCAGATTGGCGGACAGGGCCACCGATTCGAAGGGCGCAATGGCAGCCACAAAGCCATCCATGGGCCGCAGATTTAAGCTGGGAAAGACACGCCCTTCGCCCTGGATCTCGAAGCGGAGTTGCGACAAGTGCTTCAAGTAGTCGGAATTGGCTCTAATCGAGGTGACCAGGCGCCGGATATCCTTTTCGGCGTCGACGCTTGTCTTTCCCTGGGCCAGCATCAAATACATCCGCATACGGAACTCATCCGCCTCGATTATGTCTGCAGCATGCCTCCAGATGGTCAGACGGTCCGCCACGGTTACCAGACTCCAGGTTGCCTGCGCCTTCAATGCCGTCTTGATCGCACTCTCGATTTGGCACCGGTTTGCATAATAAATCTGGGCCACCGTCTGCTTCAGGTCGTGGGGACAGGACAGCCTCTGGTTGTCCATAGTGTACATCTGCTCGTCGCCCACGATGGTGGGGACCTCTAGGGGTTTCCGGTCCATCTGGAATGCGGCATGGTTGATCAACAATTGCTCGTTCATATTCACTCTGGGCTCCCCATCCGCTTCCGAGTCTGCCTGTGGCTCTCGCGTGCGACCCTTCTCCAGGGTCTTGATGACTTCGCTGCTTAGCCCGGCTGCACCCATTCGACGGCGTAATGGACTTCGCACGAGTCCCATGAAGGCAATCTTCAGCATTTTTCACTCTTACAATTTCAATTTGAAGCTTTCAACAGGAATTTTTATTACACATTCGCCAGACCCATATAATAAGTACTGTGCATGTGTAGAGTGTGAGAACAGTACGTTTCGCAATTGTAAGACAGTTGTGGGAAAGACAGATTGACTGAGACTGTGCTCCACACGAACAAAGCAGAGGTGATTGGTCGAGTAGGCACGAGTTAAAAAATAGGGAATTATCATGCGAATAAAGTCTGTAAAGATGGCATCACACAAGTGTCTTATGGTCTGGAAGCGCACTGCTCAGGCAGCATGCATGTTTTTGGGCTTGAAACCAGGTGCGCAAAACAAATTGTAAGTAGGAATGGTTCACAATCACAAACTTAGGACTAGGTTGGGTTTCTTTCCGATTTGTTGGGCTGGGTTGGAGAAGGATTAGTAGTACTTTACGAATGTAGTCTAATCTAAACGGATCTCGCGTTTAGTCCTCCCTCACTTTGCAGAACTCATCCTAGATATGTTGTCAAAATTGGTTGTCGTTGTTCTCGTGTCGTGCCCGCTCGCTTGGGCATTTCGTCAAATTTGTGTGAAGGTAACGCGTTTTCTAAGGTCACTAAGGTGCTAAATATGCCGAGTACTATGTCTAGGTCCACCCAACAAGGGGAATGCATTGTGGGTATGATGTGGGGGTTGAGTCCATGCTTTTCTATTCGAGTCTTGGATTGCAGGTTTCGTTTTAAGGTAAATACTAAGCAGTCTTGACGGTCGCATCGTTTCCGCTGTCTTCGTGGCTGTACGGTTAAGGTTATACATTAGAGCTGCGCTGCCAGGCCCGAGGCAGATATGTTATCCCCAGCTCCAGCCGTTTTCCTGGCCTCGCGACAAACCAGGACGGGGGCCACACAGATCTCCACCTTGATGCGCTCCAGATCGCGCCCATATTGAATGTACTCCTTCCAGCAGGGTACCGGACTGGCCGCACCCATTCGCTTGCGTGGCGCATTCTTCTGCATGGACGTGGCGAAGCTGTCATCCAGCACCTGCAGCACCGACTGCGGATTGATCTGAAAAGAAATATTTGGCTTTAGTTCAAAGGAGAATCGAGCTGAGCTGCTAAACTGTCTCACAAACTGCGACTTGCAGACGTAGCGATGCGCGGTCAGAGCCGCCTTGGCCGCCGCAGCCCGCGTGTTCTTCCACTGGGAGTCGGCGATGGTAAGGATGGCCTGGTAGGCCAGTGTGTGCACATGAAGCCGCGAGACCCTGCGTCGCTTTGGATCGCTACGGCTCTTCACGCTGTGATCCTCCAGCAAGTTGATGAAAACCTGTCGCATTTGATCGAGTGTGTGGGCAATGCGTGGATTGCAGTCGGTTGCCAGGGTGGTGCGGCCATGGGTCAGGACCTGCTGCAGATTGGACAGCTCTTGCTCGTTCATGCCCAGTGAGTCCACATACGGAAGGACAAACTGACGCAACTCCTGCAGCAGCTTTAGCTCGACATAGGAGGCCATCTCAAAGTGATTCCGAGTATCACTGGGCTGGCTGGTCAGCTGCATTTTCACTTGTTGCAGGCGCTTCTCCCGCTCGCCCGGATTAAAGCTGAACATGTCCATCATCTGGAGGCCACTCACCACCAGCAACTGGGGGTGGTAGAGTTTCAGGGCATTCGTCATCTGCTCCACCGCCCTGATATGCGGATTGTTCTTGTCGTTGTGCACTATAAAGCGATTGGCACGGGGTGCCACAAACGGACCCCAGACATCACCCGTCATGTACTCCAGTATTATATGTATGTCATCGTCGGGGATCTCCACGCCCTCCAGCCGAATCTCCTTGGGCAGCAGGAGACGCAGCCTGAGGGAGAGTGAACATTACCTACACGACTATTTTGGATTAGAAAATAACATACTTTTTGGACATGTGAGCGCCCAGCAAGACTTCGGCTCCCTCCATGAAAAATCGCATAGCCATCAGCGGAGCATTGCCGCCCATGTACCAATGAATACACTCCTTGTCCATCACCTTGGCATAGCCTATCAATTGCTTGAACAAAGTTCCATTGGCCATCACGCGCCTGCAGGGAAGTTGGTTTAGGAAAAATGCTCTCTATCTCGGATAAATATCGCACTTACTCCGCAGCAGCCCCGTTTTGAAAGTAATAGGCAAAGGATTGCAGCAGCTCGTCTTCGCTTTTCACGACGTCCCTGGCTGATGTAGTCACCTCGGGGATCCGCCTTTGGTAGTACCTGTTTAGGAACTCCGTGGCGTTGATATGCAGATCTGTGCAGGCTCCGTACCCTATGGCCACCTTGGGAGCGGCCTCGTGTGCGGGTCTCTTCAGACTGCTCTCGATGGCCAGGAGACCGGTGAGCAGTACTGTTGTCCTGTTTAGAGTGTGCAGCGTGAGAAACGCCTGCCAGATAATCGACAAAAGCGCTATAAACACCGAGCAGCCCGTCACCCAGCCCATGTACCGCATAGCCGTCATATTTCGGTCTCAAAACTTGTTAAAAGTTTGACTAAAAATGTTTGCCGGTTTGTGTCCGTCCGGCCCGGCCTCCGGCGTTTCTTTTCACACGGATAGATTGGATATTCCCTATCAACTTTTAGTACGCTCAACGTACGTGTATGCTGACGCAGTTATCCTTATCCTTTCTGCTACTGTTCAGTATCCTTGAATTATTATTATTATTATTTTTTTTTGATTAGATCATCATGGATGACTTGATTATGTCCTTGAATTATTGCTTAATTTTCTTATTAAAGGTGTCAAACCAAAGAGGGCGGCGACGCACTGCATCGTTGAAATTGCATAAATAATATTCACTCAATGTGTCTTCCTCTAACATTTTAATTTAGAATTAATAAGCGTAGCAGATAAACGAATATTCTTCCCGTGCTTCACGTGCTAACCAAGGCTGCCGGCCACTTCGGCGCGGTTCTTAAATATATATTAAATATATATATGAAATTCTCCTATTGAAAATGAAATTTCCAATTCGATATTTCCCAATTGTGCACAAACGGTATGGGATTTTTCCCAATTGTGCACAAACGGTATTGGAATTATACAAATCCAATTGGAGCTCACTTTTTGACGAATAAATGAGACGCTCAATGGTACTTACTCTAGTCACTAGAGGTGTTAAACCATCGAGGGCACTATCGAGAGTATCGATATTTTACTGCTAGCCTCTACTATCGATGGTTTTGAGACTATCATGATAGTATCGAGCTACATTCGTTGATATTTTGTGATATGTTTGGATTGGCTGCTATAAAATACGAAGACGAATTTGTAAACAAATCGACAGGTGGCATCTAATTTTTACAATGGATAAGTTCCTAAAAGGTTTCAATGGGTTTTTAATAATTATTTTAGCCCGATACTATCACGATAGTATCGATTGTTTTTTTCAAAACATTCAACGTTGATATTCCTCGATTTTGATATTCCGTTTAATATTACTAGCCCTCTAAGCCCTTTTAGCCCTCTTAGCCCTCTCAGCCTAACAAAAATAATTTTATCCGATAGATACATACAATTTGTACAAGATTGGCAAGGTTTCAGAAGTCCTTTATATTGGATTATTTACATATTAAGGTTCAAACAAAAACAACATAAGACGAATGTGACGTCGTTTTTGTGGCGCTGCCAGACTCGTGCAATTCGTAGTTGCTGCGGGCTGCCATTCCATGATATTTTGTGATATGAAATTCGTAAATTTTGATATTCAGTCTAATATTACTAGATAGTTGGCCCTCTCAGCCCTAAACAAATAATTTTATCCGATAGATACATAAATTTTCTACGAGATTGGCAAGTTTTCAGAAGTCCTTTTTATTGGATTATTTCCATAAAAAGGTTCAAACAAAAACGGCCAAAGCATAAAACGTAAATGTTGACTAAATGTGACGTCAGTGTTGCTGGTCAACCAAGTTTCTTCTATGCGTATGTACTTTTGTATACCTTATTTCTTTTAATTGATGTTAAATGTTTTGTTCCAAGCTCCATTGAAACATTATTTATGATTTAATCCTAGATTGACTTGTTTTTTATACCCGTACTCAAAAAGAGTTAAGGGGTATTTTAGATTTGTGGTAAAAGTGGATGTGTGCAACGCAGAGAAGGAAACGTTTCCGACCCCATAAAGTATATATATTCTTGATCAGCATCAATAGCCGAGTTGATAGAGCCATGTCTGTCTGTCCGTCTTGTTTGACGCCTGGATCTCAGAGACTATAAAAGCTAGAGGAACCAAATTTTGTTTCCAGACTCATGTGATATCACACTGCTACAAGTGTATTTCAAGATTTCGCCTTCCGCTCCTACAAAGGACGAAAATCTGTGGCATGCCCAATTTTAAAGATACGCTAAAGCAGTATCGTAGAGAATGACCATGTCTACCAGATTGCCGAATCTGAATCAGATCGGATCATAATTATAGCCAGAATGACGAAATTAATTTTCAGTTGCTTCCCCTGCCCCCTCCTGCCAACGACCCAGCAACTGATTCCTTTCTCGCTCGCACATTCTGCCGCGTTCAGTGCGCGAGCAACCCCTAGCGGAGGAGATGTAGAATCTAAATGGAACATGTACAATCTACATGTTAGATGTAGAATAGACATTGTATATGTAGATGTAGATAGCAGATGTAGCAAAAAAATGTAAATTTTTTTGTTTTTTCTAAAATTCTAAAAAATCATAAGCTCAAAAATGTATATACTGACTGAGTACGGGTATAAGTAGAGTCGCGTCCCCAGAAGCGACTTACACGTTCCTTCTCGTTTTAAATTATTTTAAAAACTAAAACTCGATGAACCCCATCATTTGCACTTAGCATAGAGCTAACAAAATGCTATTGAAACGCAGTAAAAAAGTCTTGGAATGTTCTTGTTTTCTATCTTTTTTGTGCATTAAAAGCGTGCGAACGTATGTACGTTCGCGACCCGCGGATATGCCCATATACGATTAAACTGAAAACGCAGAATCGTAGAAAATGACCATATTTACCAGACTGCCGAATCTGAATCAGATCGGATCATAATTATAGCCAGAATGAAGAAATTAATGTTCAGTTGCTTCCGCCGCCTACTTCAGCTAGAAACCCGCTACTCATTCTCTTTCTCGCTCGCACACTCTGCCGCGTTCAGTGCGTGAGCTCCCTCTAGCGAAAAATATGTAGAATCTAAATGGTACATGTAGTATCTACATGTTAGATGTATAATATACATAGTAGATGTAAATTACAGATGTAGCAAAAAAAATTCTAAAATTCTAAAAAATCATAAGCTCAAAAATGTATATACTGACTGAGTACGGGTATAAGTAGAGTCGCGTCCCCAGAAGCTACTCACACGTTCCTTCTCGTCTGATATTGCAGCTAGTCAATTACAATTAAAATGTTTAAGTTTTCCGCGCGATACTATCGAAAGTGTGCAGAATTAGTCGTCGATCGCAAGTAATTTTTAGTGAAATGGATGAAATGGAAAGTATTATTTTGAGAAAAAACACATTGAAAGAATTTTCATTGAAGATATTGATGTGCTCAAGGGATTTGGTCCCTTTTATCTAATTATGGACGAGTGGAACCTTCCAGAATTCACACCAGCTATAAGTATTTAGTTATTTACAAACATATATACATATATATGTGTTAAATATAAAATTTTTTTATTCGTTTTGAAATATCTTTTAAAAGAGCATTGCTGTTTTAATAAGTGGATCGGTTTAGTTATTGCTACCCAATCTGCTGACGGTAGTAGCTTTAAAACGATTCATGTGACGGTGGTAAAGATCAGATCAGAAATAGAGTATCTTATGCATACATTATATATGCATAATTTATATTGTCTATAATACAAAAGGAAGCAACCGATTCCAGTACCGATTGGAGCGACAAAATTCAGTACATATTCCCTTATACGGGTGATGGACTATATTAAGAGAAGATTGCCAGAAGCTGATACAAATTCCGATGAGAATTCTGATAATATGACTCTTCCATGGTTTACGCTGTCACAAAATACCCATGCCTGTTGGACGTAAAACGTTTGCGCAATACCTTAGCAGAGCACGGGTATGTGGAGAAGGTGCTACACAAGATAGAAGCGTATAATCGTATAAGGACAACACGTGGAGGCGTATAATGGACGAGGCGGATGCAGCTGTGTTGTCGCTCAAAGAACCTACCGTTCGGAACCAAGAGCTTATATCCCAGGAGCTGACGCAGATTCGAAGACTGATGGAACGATTTTTCACTATTTGTCCATCCGCGGTGCTGAGGCTCAACTATTGTAAATATCCCTCGTTTGTTGGTGTGAAAAAAATGGTGTGAATACTTTGTGTATATAAATTAACATTTAGCATATTAAATATAGATGGTACAGCGTTATCGCAGCTGGTTCAATCAGTCGCAGCTCCACAGGAGAGCTGCCCTCCTGTAGGCTGTTGCTGCACCAGTCTCCAAACCGATGTATATTCTCGGCAAAGTCTATAGCTATTTGTAGAACCCCATCGGCAGTTGTGAAGTTAAGGATCATCGAATTGCAGCGTCGCTCGCGTGCCGTCAATTTTTAAGATTCTCCTCAATTAGTCCGTCCAGCTGTTCGGCCCTAGCAGGCCTAGCAGGCTCCTAGCTTAACCATAAGACACTCGTATCGTTCAACGGATTCCAATGATTTATCTGTCTTGGTAATTCTACAAAAAAGTTTAATAAGTTGTATGAATAAATATCTAATGGTAATATGATGATGCTTACTCATACTGCTGTGTCCCGCGAAGTGCTTGACTGGGCCTTCATCTTCTTCATCAGTCACTCCGGTGTATGTATATAGTATATCCTGCCGGGCTGCACCTCTGGTTGCTCAAAGAGACGGTGATGGCGTTCCAGCTTAGTATAATTCTTTCGCTTCTATACTCATCGACTAAATTTAAAGAGCATGGGATTTGAATTTGGGTGCAAAGTTGGTTAGGGAGAAACTGGATAATTCTATAGCTTATTGAGGCACACCTAATATTGTAGAATGTGCATATCAATCATTGAGAAACCGCTAAAATTCGATTAAGCCCCAACTAACGAATCTTCAAGACGAAGTGCTATGAGACTAAAATCGGCGAAGAGGTTCCATAACATCTCATTACCTTTTGAAGAGACAACGTTTCAACAAGCTGTCTTCCTGCGTCACAGACTAGCAACATCTTCGCTGTTGTTGCTGTTTCATACCCTTGCGGAGGGTACAGCAGATCTTTTCATTAGATGAAGTAAAGGGCAACCGCCAGGATGGGGTTTAACAAATCATTAGGCTGCTTTAGCCGAATGTTGCTCGCAGCCAATTGTTGTTAAATTTTGCAAGTTGTGGTACCAGCTATGTGTTGCTTTGGGACCACTAGATAATCTATGTGTGCATCTTTGATGGGAAGGGTACTTAAAATTCGGTGCTCGAGGCTTTGGCCTTTCTCTTCTGTTTTTTACGGTTCCTTCTTGTTGCTTGGGCCTGCCTGCCTGCCTGTCGCTTTATACATAACAAGTTGGTGCTTGTTGCTTGTTGCTGCTGCTTCTTCTTGTTCGTTTTTTCTCTCTATTGGATTGACACAAGGTTAATCCAAGATTGCACTAGGCACGGATGGTCCGGACTCCGGAGGGTGGGTGGGGTGGTGTGCCTTGTATAGGAAGTGTTATCTGCGCTGCGCGTGTTTGAGGTGGGCTGGGCTTCTCTGGATGTACGAGTTTCTGTGGATATTAAGTACGAGTAGTACGATTCCCCCACGTGCAAAATTGATTACAATAAATACTCTTTTATAGCCTCCCATAGAGATCGTATATATTTCCATTGCCCATTACTTCTTGATTTACCCTCTCTTGTCGCTAATGCAAAATGCAAATTTATTCATTTCTGTTTTATAGCCGAAGGGCTTATATTTAAAAAATCCCCATCCCATCCCCATCCGCATGAGCCAATTAGCGTCTATAAATTACTTCTGAGACCTGGACCAAAGTCTGCCCGTTTCTATTTATAACAGTTTCGCTTCAAGCTCAAAGTCTTAAATGTCCGATTTTATCCCGTAACACGGCGAAGAAGAAGAAGACACGAGACACACGATGACTTGTCGTTTGCAGTTTAGAATCGGAATCAGTTGGCGAGATGGCGCTGCCGGGACGGGGACCGGGCAGAGGCCATCACGCATGACAAGTGTATTGCCCGGACTCGATTTCTGTCTGGTCTGGACACTATTTTTATCAGCCGAACGAAAGTGAATATCACAAATTTAACGCTTCTCAGTCAGTCTCAGCATTAACCGGCTGGTCTGTGTTCTGGCTCTCAGACACCGCCAATACTTGTTGTTGCTACCTGGGGGCATACCCCGGGGCTTGTACGGCACCAGGGTATATTCTGTTCGTGTGAATCTATGCAACATATGTGTGTACACTGTACATATATATGCAGGATATCCTGTAGTTTTGATGTAGCTCCTGAGTATTCGTTCTACATGAATTCTTAAATTTGTATTCGTAGCAGCAGGGGTATTCGTTAGTCGGAAATACTCGTTTTACGTTGCTTTTGTTCTTTTTCGCGTGTTTCGTATGCGATTGTTGTTGTTGCTTTTGCTTTTGCTGTTTTGTTTTAGTTGTATTTCATTTTATTCTATGCGTAGTCTGCCGTCTGCCCGTCTGCCGTCCGCCGTCCGCAGTCGTCTGTGCTGTCCGTTGGGGACCTGTGGGCTCTATCCATATAAAATCAACATAATCGGAAATTCTACCAAGCAGTTGATTCTAAGCAATTGACGGAGCCGGACGCTCACTCCGCCTCTGCCCTGGAATATTGATAAATTTCTTTGCTCTTTTCTCTCTTGTGTAATTGTGCAATTGGTGTTCGTGTGACAGTTGCAAGATTTACCGAAGCAGAAGTACGGATCGGTGTAGGGATCTGTGAGTGAAACGTGATCTAGCCAACGATTGTGTCTTAAAAGGTAAAGCACTCTCGTGGTCATAACTAAAGTTTGTGGTTTTCGGATATATGTACATACGTACATATGTATAATAGAGGTACATTGTATGTATATATGTATATCTCTTCATGTTGTTCTATTTGTCTGCGTTTGTTTCCTAAGTCTTTTGTTTCGGTTTTGTGCTCGCTTTGTGCTGCAAGGAAGCAGTTTCGCTTAGTTAAATGAAATCGAAATTTAAATCAATCTTTATCACAACTGGATTTGGCACGCTCTCTAGCGTCTGTCGCATGTATATAGTTCTTGTTCGGTTTCCCTATTCCTCGACACTTCCGCCTGCAGGCCAACACAATTTATATAATTTGTTGGTGAATCTCTGACTTGATAGTTCTGCGCGCAAGATCAAGATCAATTAGAGGCTAACAGTGAATGGAGCCCAGACAAAGCCACGAAATTAACCCATCTTAAGAATATAATTGTCATCGCCAAACTATTTTGTTAAAACACCATTCGCACCTATTCGATTCGCAGCTAAATGCCCGAATGGATTACTCATATCATAAATAATTATTTATGTGTGGTTTTCAGAGATTTTTTACGAAAGCAATAAATTAGCATAATTTAGTGAATATTATTTAAGTCCAAAATGTTCAAATATGTCGGTCCAGCTGTCTGCTGAGACGCAAATTCATTCCAAAGAAGATAAAACAAAAAACAAATCAGAAAGGTGAATAAACTGAAGACGCCTCTGACTTCTGTGTAATGCCGCGGCTCGGCTGGGGGAACTGGTTCACACTGGAGGACGTCACCAAAGAAATCGAGAGTTAAGCCGATATAATACGAGCCTCACAGACCTCATTAGCCACTGTGTAGCCACATACACTGATGTACATACACACACATACATTTATCTCACTCTTTCCCTTCCCTTCCCTTCCTTTCCCATTGTGTAGCTGTCGGGTAAGATGTCGTCGCATGGGACGCCAGTCTTTGCTCTGATCTTCCTGATCGCTCTCGGCTGTGTGACGTCACAGCGCACGTCATTGGACGTGGCTCTGAGGAATGTCTACCGGCCGTTGCGTCTGCTTGGCCTTGCCTTCACAGGGAGATCTGGGGACGATATGCAGAACGTGCAGCGCGTGCGAAATGCAGGGGTAAGTCCATAGCTCCGGTATGGGCCAATACTCTCTCCTTATTCTACTAACGGATTGGCCTGTTCAATTTTGTCTGCTAGAAAACGCAAAAATCGAATCCGCGCACTCGGGCCCTGCTGCAGTTCTGTGATGCGGAGCACGGGCCTGGAAGACGCAGCGAGGAGCGACCGACGAGCGTGAATCGCCTGCGACCGGGGGACATCGATGTAATCGGAGCAATGGGCGACTCGCTGACAGCTGGCAACGGCATCTTTGCCACCAATCTGCTGCACGTGACCGTGGAGAATCGCGGCGTGGTGTGGTCGATTGGGGGACAGTACGACTGGCGAAAGTATCTGACCTTGCCCAACATCCTCAAGGAGTTCAACCCGAACCTGTACGGGTATGCGATCAAGGATGGACTCTCCACCGATCGGACGTCCCGCTTCGATGTGGCCGAGCTGGCAGCCATGTCCAGGGACATGCCGTATATGGCTAAGGTTCTGGTGAAGCGAATGCAGCGGGATCCCAACGTGAACATGACCAGCGACTGGAAGCTGATCACCCTCTTCATTGGGAACAACGACTTCTGCACCGACATCTGCTACTATCCGGATCCGGAGATGACGGTCAAGTGGCACGAGCAGAACATGCTGAAGACCTATCGCTACCTCCGGGACAACGTGCCCCGCCTCATGCTGAATGTGGTGCCGGCACCGAACCTCCGTTTTCTCACCAGCCTGTCGGGCCTCCCACCCGCCTGCTACAGCACTCTGCGCTTCGAGTGCCCCTGCCTGATGGGGAAGGGCAAGGGTCGCTTGGACTACCTGGAGGGCATCATGAGGCGTTGGATTGCCAAGGACTCGGAGATTGCCAACAGAGAGGAGTTCAATACGGAGGTGAGAAAGCATGAGCACACGCGAGCTTCTCCCTGACTTTGGTTTCAATGGTTTTTGTTTTCGCATTGCCCTTTCAGACCTTCACAATCAACGTGCAGCCGTTCTCACAGTTTAAGGACTTCCCGCGCACCCGCTCCGGCATGACGGACACGCGCTTCTTCTCCGAGGACTGCTTCCATCTCAGTCAACGGGGCCACGCCGCTGCGGCCAACTCCATTTGGAACAACATGCTCGAGCTGCCGGGCGAGAAGAGCGGCTTTGCCACCCAACTCTTTGAGACCTTCCACTGCCCCAGCGAGCAGCGTCCCTTCCTCATAACCCGGGAGAACAGTCGCCCGGACTTTGTGATCTGATCTAGCTCAATGTGCTTTCCCCTGTGAATTTCCTGTGATATCTCGCCTAAGTCTTCTTTCCATATTCTTATGTTCTATATGCTTTACACTTATATAATATATTTGTAGTTTAAATTAGCGCCATGATAAATGTCTCGATGAGAAATTGCACATCTTTGCGAATCACAAAATCAAACAGAACAAAAAAGGTTATTAATAATCCACGAGCGGATGATCGATGGAATGGGCATGGGGATGGGGATGTTTGCGGGGCAATATGCAGATTACCGTATCGTAAACGGTATGCACGTGGATCTCTTTTGGCAGAAAGAGCGGCGCCAACTCCGATGGAAGTTTCCTATCGAATACATTTGATCCATAATAATGAGACAATAAGCCTGGTAGTCTGGTAGTCAGTCCCATCTGAATGACACACGCCCCACAACACACATATGCATGTATGTATGTACATGCCTCTCCCCGCACTGTGGGGCGCGTCGTGAAACCTGTTACAATTTATTTCGCATGGAACATCAATAAAGCTCGCTCATAATTGCTGTTTTACTTTTGTGAGCCGGTGTCGGCGCTGACTGCTGTTTATGAAACATTGAATTTCTCAATTTCGTACGTGTTTTTGCGTGCTAATCGCCCCGCGCGCCCCTATTAACCCATCCGCACCGTTCAACGGTTTCGCTGGGCAGTGCACAAAAGCAATAACAATTAACACCGTCGAAAGGGGGGAGCGTGAAAGAGAAAATGAGAAGCAAGAGAGAGAGAGAGAATGTGTCGGAGAGGTAAAGGTCAGACCGCTGCATTGCCATTGACTTTGAACTTGAGTCGGGGGTGGGCGTGTGTGCATGTGCTGTGGTTTTTAATGGCATTCCTCTCGCACATTTTTGTGCCCCAACTTTGGCTCTTCCCATGAGGCTTCGTACATTGTTGCCTATAGATGAAGCGCGGCATGGCCGGCCAGTTCAAGTTCTACGTAATTTATCTCAACTTATAGTATTTGTACTGGATCAACTAATTGTGGTTGGCACCATAAATACAGCTGGAGCTGTTCTCGGTGAGATCTAATTCAAATAGTATTAATTAAACGCGAGGACTGGTGACCCATTTTAATGAATGCCGCTGTCAAGCCATGATTCAGCTGGAATCCGGACATTTTATTTATTTGCTGCACGAATCTATTCAAATTATATGCGTTTGACCGAGTCCGCGAGAGAGATTATTTATTCAAAAATATTTGCTTTTGCGCCAATTTCATAGTGGCGCCACCTGTAGGGCTGTGGCTGAACCAAAACGAGTAAATATCGATAGGAAAATTGCCATTCACTGCGAAGATAACGTAACTGCCAGAAATTACAAAAAGACATCTGCTAAAAATATTAATTTGGAGAAAATGCCTCGTTACCTCATTATCAAGATTCCTCTCGCAATCATCATTTCATTTTTCTATGGGCCATCGATACTTACTGCAGTGCTGTGAAGCGCGCTTGTGTTGTTTCTGCAGCCCTAGTATTTTGTTTAATTTCTGGCTGCCGAAACGGTCTTGGTTTGAATTTCTGCTTGGTAAGATTCTGCTCGCAGCACCTGGTGATCTTCCAGGTGATCTCCAAGAAGGCCGCCTAACTGCAGGTGAATGAGCAGAACGAACAGCTCAGCAACAAGTTCGGACTGGGCCAGGTCTGTGCCAACATTTTCACCTTGACACGGGAGAACCCGAAGCAGCCAGTTGACGGAAAGTTCTTGAAATTTTCTGCTTACCGCTGCAGACCGAAATGTTATAAAGCACAATGTCGTTTTCCCAGAGTTGCACATTTGCTGAAAGTTCTTCGCCATGAGAGACGACAAGCAAAGATACCAAGCAGCTGCAATCGCCTTCGTGCTGGGTAAGGTTCAGTACATTATGGCTTTGTGGAACATTTGTGTATTTACGAGAATGTCTCTCTGACAGTGTTGCAGCAATGCAGCGGCCTGCCTTATACATCTGCGATGGGGGGGAATGAGATCGATGCGGACACTTATCAACACTCTGGCGGCGGACGATCGGTGGACTATCACACGGTTGTGGGCCACTTCAAGGACTTCTTTATGTATCTGCCTGTGATGATGACCACCATAAAAGAGACCATGTCCGGCTTCCCCAAATTCGCCGAGGGCGTGCGTATTCTAACCTCTGGGAAGGGACGCGTCGACGGCGGCGAGGACTGCAAGTGCAGTCAAAATGCCTTGGGAACGGGCGCCAGCAGTGAAATGTTGGACGGTAATGGGCGCTTTGGCTGATAGCTGATGGTGTGGACAGAGGCAACGACAATAAAATGATTGGACACTGCGATTTGGCTCTGATATAAAATGGGGAAATGGGAATTAAATTGAACGAAATGAAATTCCCTTCGGATCGCAGCTCAAAGAGCAAATGGAATTGGATGCAAGGGAAATTTGGTGGGGTTTCGGAAGATTTTGACCAACACAGTCGAATCTTCGAGAAAGGACCCAATATACTCGTGCTCGAAGTGGAAAATCAATTCGAGACAGTCGATTGGGGACAGTCTGTTCTGTTGCGGCCCCAAGAAGCACCCATGCCCTTGAATGGGTAAGTAATTGGGCTCAGACAATGGCAACATACTCGTAATCCATAGCCCATTTTGGCTGGACTTGAACTATATTTCGACACACAATATTTTCTTAGGCTGCTGGCGGGCGATTGCTGGCTCATGCTCATTAGCTCGATTCGTGTCAATATGGGACCCCTGGGAAGGCCCACATGTCTCCTGCCCGAGTTGGGGAGCCTAATCAAAACTTCCAATCTGCATACAAAGTAAAGGGCCGGGGCGGGTCGGGGCGGTGGAGGTTGAGTGGTTATTGCTGACTGTCATGTTTGCACTTGTCATTATTGTTAATTGTATTTGCCGTGGGTCGATGCATGCATGGGCTATATTTACATACCATACCATACCATACCATACCAATCCAATGGTCGTGGCTTAACACTGTAATTCACGGTGTCCACAGCGAAGCACTTTCCATTTCAGTGAGGTCCACGGCGCTGGGACGAACACCCGGAACGCAACTGCAGCCGAGAACCCAGCATGTCCAGGAAGCGCAAAAAGCTGAGCCACTAGAAAAGCAACGAACAGCCACGAACAGCCACGAACAGCCACGAACGGAAAACTGCATCTCATCTCGCATCGATGGCCACTGGGATTGAGCTTCTTGTGGCAGCGGCCCTGTGCGCTGCCTGTCCGGCTCTGAACGAGTCCCTGCCCGCGAATTTGATCCAGCTGAGCGAGGATGGCAGCAGCATGAGCATGCCCACCGAAATGCCCCCCCTCGATGTGGAGGCCGCCAATGACGTCGGCCTGGACAACGACACGCCCGTGGAGACCCTGGAGACGATTATCAACAAGAAGAAGAAGCTGCGCGAGATGCGTGACTGGATCAAAGGCAAGCACCTGCGCATCGCCACCCTCGAGGACTATCCGCTGAGCTATACGGAGCTACTGGAGAATGGCACCCGCATCGGTCATGGGGTCTCCTTTCAAATCATCGATTTCCTCAAGGAGAAGTTCAGCTTTACGTACGAGGTGTTCGTGCCCCAGGACAACATCATCGGCTCGCCCGTCGACTTTGATCGCAGTCTCATCGAGATGGTCAACAGCAGTGTTAGTATCTGTATCTGTATCTGGCAGCTTGACACCCTTGACGCCCGCATTCCTTCCACAGCTTGTGGATCTGGCAGCTGCCTTCATTCCCTCACTGTCGGACCAAAGAACCTTCGTCTACTATTCGACAACAACCTTGGACGAGGGCGAGTGGATAATGGTGATGCAGCGGCCGAGGGAATCGGCCAGTGGCTCCGGCCTGCTGGCACCCTTTGAATTCTGGGTCTGGATACTGATTCTCGTCTCACTGCTGGCCGTGGGACCCATCATCTATGTGCTGATCATTCTGAGGAATCGCCTGACGGGCGACGCCGTTCAACATCCGTACTCGTTGGGCCATTGCGCTTGGTTCGTGTATGGGGCGCTAATGAAACAGGGCAGCACCCTGTCGCCCATTGCAGGTGAGTGCCAGCTCGGTTTGGCTGCAATTAGGCCAAAGTGCAGGAGCGCAGAATCGCGATAGGAATCGCTAAGAACCCATTGGGGGCACAACTCATGAGGTTGCATGCTCTGGTCGCGTTTGCCGTTTCATTAAATTCATTAAAAAAGCATTGCAGACTCGACCCGGCTTCTCTTCGCCACGTGGTGGATATTCATCACGATATTGACGTCCTTCTATACGGCCAACCTGACGGCCTTCCTTACCCTCTCCAAGTTCACGCTGCCCTACAACACGGTCAACGATATCTTGGTGAAGAACAAGCACTTTGTCTCGATGCGGGGTGGTGGGGTCGAGTACGCCATTCGAACGGTAACTCAATGGATAAAATAAGTCAAAATTGTGTATACGACATGCCCCCTTTGGTTGCAGACCAACGAATCGCTGTCCATGCTGAATCGGATGATACAGAACAACTATGCGGTCTTCTCCGAGGAGACGAACGACACGTACAATCTCCAGAACTACGTGGAGAGGAATGGATATGTGTTTGTGCGGGATCGACCCGCGATCAATATAATGCTGTATCAGGACTATCTGTACCGCAAGACAATCAGCTACAGCGACGAGAAGATCCACTGCCCCTTTGCCATGGCCAGGGAGCCGTTCCTCAAGAAGAAGCGCACGTTCGCCTATCCCATTGGGTCCAACTTGAGCCAGCTCTTTGATCCGGAGTGGGTAGGATACAGCCAGACGATGTACAGACTGTAGCATTTTCATATTTGCAGACTACTCAATCTGGTGGAGTCGGGCATTGTGAAGCATTTGTCGGCCAAGGACTTGCCCAGCGCAGAGATATGTCCCCAGGACCTGGGCGGCACTGAGCGGCAGCTGAGAAACGGTGACCTGATGATGACCTACTACATAATGCTGGCCGGATTCGCCACATCTCTGGCCGTTTTCAGCACTGAGCTCATCTTCCGGTACGTGAACAGTCGCCACGAGGCCAACAAGTGGGCCCGTCACGGCATCGGACGCACTCCGAATGGCCAATCCATAAAACCATCTCGCTGGCTGAGGGGCTGGCAGCGCCTGGATAGCGGACAAAAGCAGTTGCTGGGCACCTCCACCCAGGGCCAGAATGTCACTCCTCCACCGCCCTACCAGAGCATTTTCAACGGCGGCCATGGTGCAGTGGCTGCAGATGCTCGGCATCGCTGGAGACGTGCCGTCGGCCAGGGCAACGGGGTTCTTCTCGGGAACGACCCATCGACCGATGGCGGGGTTAGACGATTGATCAACGGCCGTGACTACATCGTCTTTCGCAATCCAGACGGCCAGAGTCAGTTGGTTCCCGTCCGATCGCCGTCGGCAGCGCTCTTTCAATACACCTACACCGAGTAGGCAAGGTTATATACCTGCTACGAGTAAACACATATATTTGATGGGATCTTGTTAACTGCACCATTAACCTCCACACAAAATATACAAAATGTACGTAGACATCGGATGTTGTGCCGTTTTACAGAGTTCTCCAATAAACTGCACCTACTCGTATTGCGCAATATTTCAATTTTCTATTAACTGAGGCTAGGAAGAATCAAACATCACGAATGGGAATGAAGGCTTCCACATGCATGGACTGTGAGACTCTGATACTCTAGAAAGAAATCTGTATATATATAAATTGAGAGATAAAAGTGTATAGTGCATCATCACGTGAGAACGGCAGGGCAGATTTGGTTTAGATTTGTATTCAGTTGTTCGTATTTGCCAGAAGAATGTTTTTACGACAGAAAATTTTGGAAAAACCAACTTACGATCGCGAAGAGGTGATTTTGTATTTGCTTCTTTTATGGAACTAGGCGAAGAGGCAATTGTCATAGAGGAAGATTAGTTATAAACTCGAGATATTATTCAATTGAGTAATAATACACGTCGTGAAATAAGTAATCGGAATGTCTCTATTAATCTAACGCAAGAGGAACTTGCAGAAGAAAATTAATGGAGACGTGCCCATATTGCACAGGTTCGCGCTGAATAATTACCACCTCAAATTCGACCAGTAAACTTTAATCGCACTGCTTTCGAATACGATTGCGCAATATTCTACGCTGATCTTCGCTGCGTTAAAATGGGGCGAGACAACGTTCGCCGGGTCCGCTAGTTAAATAGAAGAAAAATATATCTCAGTTTTTGCATTTCCCTTCAGATGTTTTAATTGACTAGCTAAAAGAAACTGAAGCGAATCAACTATAAAACGAGAAGGAACGCGTGAGTCGCTTCTGTGGACGCGTCTCTACTTTTATACCCGTACTCAGTCTGATCAGGTTGTACTGACCTTAGTTGCGAATTCGGGCTTGTTCGGTCTTTCCATCCCAAGAAACCGCCTAGCACGTCCTTAATTGGCACTAGGCACTTTTTATTACCCCTATCTTGGGTTTTATCTACGTATCCTTCCTGCTGCTTGTTGCATATTTATTTAGGTCAGCAGTGCATGTCTCCTACAACTATATTTGTGTAATAGAATCCAATCGCCTTCTGGCCTATTACTTGCTTAGGTCTACTAGTACTATTAATATTAATTGTACCCATGTTTTGTGTTCGTATAGAATTTTAAAATATTTAAAATTTAAATTTAAAATGATCCAATCTGATCCAGATTCGGCATTCGGCAGATATGGTCATTCTCTACGATACTGCGCTTTTAATTTTCTCGTATCGTCAAAATTGTCGATGCCACAGATTTTTGTCTTTTGTGAAGGCGGAAGGGGACGTAGCCAAATTTTGAAACAAACTTGACTCAGTGTGATATCACATGAGCCTGGAAACAAAATTTGGTTGCTCTAGCTCTCACAGTCTCTGAGAACTAGGCGTCAAGCAAGACGGACAGACGGACGGACGGACAGATGGACATGACTATATCGGTTCGGCTATTGATGCTGATCAAGAATATATATATACCCCATAGTACGGGTATAATGAACAGATAGTTCTTCGAAATATATAAACAAAGAGCTTAACATGTATTATTGTCTAATAATCCAATCTCTAAGTGGTAAGTAATAGCACTTCAATCGCACGAACACTCAAATTGTCCCCAGACTGGTTCATCCTGCACTCGGCTGGAGGCTACCTGCGGATGTGGATTCGAGTTGAGCAATTTTCTCATCCTCCACTTTAAGGTTGCTTCCTCATTTATTGGCATTGGATACCAGATCATTAAGTATCTTGTTAAGTGCCAAAATGATTGCCTCGTGGGGAGTCAAGCTATCTGGCAATCCGGATAGGTATTGGAATTGGCTTCAACTTCTTCAAAGGTCACCAAGATTCTAGTGGGGGTCATTATCTGTACTTGTAACTGGATACTTGCACAAGTGAAGGGAGAGAGAGATACCTATGCATTACTGTGTGGAGTCTGCAATCGAAAGTCCTGTAGAATTCTTGCGGTGAGTAATGTTAACGTGAGTTTACAGATCCACAATACAAATGACCCATCCCATCCGTAGTCAAGCCTTAAAAATTAACGTAAAATGAACTTTCCCTTTATTTAGTTGAGTAATTTACGACTGGCAGCGGTTAGTCCACTGTGGTGTGTGGCGTGAATGCATACGACGACTGCATGTCCAGGCTGCTGTTGGAAGAGCAGGAGCTCGAGGGGGGTCGAGAGGACATGGCCGACGAAGCGGAGGACGATCCACTGGAGGAACTGACCCAGGCATGACCTATGCGACGACGACGTTGTCGCACCAGACCCAAGACCGAGCCAGCCACCGGAGTGGAAGTGGATGTCGCTGATAGCTGCCGCCGCATGCTGGCGTTGAGCGAGAGCTGTGCAGGTGCTGGAGCCGTAGCCGGACGGCCCAGATGCGGAGCTGGTGTCGATGACTCATTGCTCCCCGCGGATGCCTCACTGGAGAGCGAGGACAGGGCCTCATCGTTGTTTTCCACCATTTGGGATGGAACGTCCACGTCCGCTGCCGTGTTGAGCGTGTTCCCGTCCAGTAGCTGCAGTGTGGACACGCTGCGCCTGAGCATGTCGCGATAGAGGGGCAGGCGACAGACTGGATTCCCCAGCAACTCCACCTCTGCGAGCAGCGGACACATGCCCAGGAACGAGAGCAGGCCCAGCTCGCTGATCCGATTGTTGCGAGCCCTAAGCACCCGCAGCTGGGCCAGCTCGACCAGGGGATCCACACGCTGGATCATATTGCCGTCGGCTATTAGGACCCTGATGGCGGGCAGGCCGCTGGTGCCGTCGAAGCTGTTGAGGCCGCAGTTGCTGATATTCAAGTGGGTCAGCTGCAGCAGCCCGTAGCCCAAGTCCCGCAGGGAGCTCAGCACACTGCCGCTCAGGTCCAGGTCCTGGAGTCGTGGCAGGAAGAGCGACAGCCGGGACAGACTGATCGTGTAGGAGATCACCCTGAGACGCACCGTTTCCACCGCCTCCAGGTCCGTTCGCTGCGTTACTCTCCGCTGAAAGGAGACCAGTTACCAGTTGCTGCTGGAAATGCACTTTGACTACGCGTGACCTACCAGGAGCTCATCCAGGGTCGGCTCCGGGGCCTGCTGGGGCAGCACAACGGGCAGCAGGTGCACAAAGGCCGGGAAATGTTGCGTTTCCTCGGCAGTGGCCACATCCCGATCAAACGAATTCCGGCGAGCCAGCTGCCGTCGATGGATCTGTGGTGGCTGCTGATGGGTCTGCTGCTGATGATGCTGCAGGTGAAGCGGCACATCGGGGGGAGGTAGACGCACTTGGGCCAGGGCCGCCGGTCCCGCTGGGGCTGCTAACAGAAGTGGCAGCTCCGCCTGCAGCGAATGCTCTGGCGAGGACTCCAGATACTCAGCAGGCGCCTCCAGAAGGGGCATAGTCAGCAATGGAATGTTCTCTACTCCCTGTGCTGACCGGCTGTGTTGTGACTGGTTTCATCGATGTAACAAGAGCTCCAGGTTGCCATGGTTAATCCACATTGGCGGCGTACCTACGTGGTGCCCATGTAGGTGGCTATGTCCACTGATTTATGGACAGGGTTGTCGAGCGCTCTTCAGTATTATAAGATTGTTTGGATGGAAAACAAATACTAGTTACTGATTAAGTTGGAGCATCCCCTTGACCCTTGTGGCTCCCAGAAAACAAGCCATAATTAATTAAATATCTTTGTGTCGCCCCATTTTCCTTGCCACATCGACCTGTGACCGATACTTGAAGACGTTTTTGCAGCCTGACTGCGAACATTTCGAAGTTGCTGGAAGCCAGCCGCCTTGGCCTCACTCCTTAGCCGATTATTTTTTTGGCAATGTGCCCACTGACGTCAGTGTGACGTCACGGTCATGACGTTTGCTCACTCTCGCTCGCTCTCTCTCTCTCTCTCTGTCTCTCTCTGTCTCTCTCTCTGTCTCTCTCTGTGACTCGTTCTTTCTGGGTGTCTGTTCGCGTCGCGTCGCGTCGCGAGAGCGCAGCAAGAGTTGGCCAATTCCTTAGCGCCTTTTGCCATTTCAAGGGCCATTAGCTAACACCAACGCCAGTAGCCTCCGCCCTCCGCCCTCCGCCCTCCGCCCACCACCAGACGATGCCTCTGACAGATGCATCTCTTTCCCTCTCGCTTTACGATAATCAAATTTTCCTGCGCCGGCTTTTGTGTGACTTCGTTGGGGTGGGGTGGGTGTGCGGTGGGTTTGCTATTGGTTGTGGGGGGTGGGTTGGCATTTGCTGTTGTTGCGGCGTCGTGTTTGAGGCGAGCTTTTTCCATTGACGTCATCAGGGGCGAAAGCTGCGCAGTAGTTCGACCCAAGCTGCCATCCTACCACGCATTTATCGATTCCCCTCATCGAGAGGGCAGACTGAGAGAGAGAGAGAGAGAGAGAGCGGGAGAGCGTGCAAAAGTGTGGGCGAATTCAGTTTTTGCAAAAAAAAGACACGACAGCTGCTGTGGCAGCTGCAGGGGGGCCGGGGTTGGGCGGACAACTCACCAAAAACCAATTTCAATGCACTGCAAAGAAAGAGGATACATTTGCTCACCCACATGTACTACATATAATAAACAGCATAATAAACAGTATATTAAGTACAGTATATTAGGAGAAACATATGTAATTAATATTTACGTAATATTAAGTAATATTTAGGTAACACTAAGAACGAAAGAATAATAGTTAGTCTCCATGAAGCGTGGGTTTTAAATTATTCTGTCTTACTCGTGCGTGTTTTCTCCACCAGAAAATCAATTACTACTAATACGTGTACACCGTACAGGCAAATGTTAAGTGCAGAAATTGGTGCACTCGATTTCTCGCAGTGTAATCACAGCTGGTTCGGAGTTTGGGCCAAGGTGTTGCGCCCTACTACACTACACTCCCCTACTCCCTCTACTACCCTAAGCCCCTAAACAGGCCAAACGGAGAAATTAGATCCCATTCTGTGCTTACTTACACATTTTTATAGATGCCTAAAAATAGAATTTGTCAATAAAACCGACGACACACACTCACCCACTTGGCCCAGACATTATATATGAGTGTGTGTGTGTGTGTGTGTGTGTGTGTGTGGGTGTGTGGGTGTGTGTGGGTGGCCGCTCAGACACGCACTGTTGACGTCATTGTACGAGAAAGAAAAGCTTTATTTCGCCTCAGCTCGTTACTACGTTACAGGAAGCGGGACACAAACAACCAAAACCCCCCAAAAACGAATCGAAACGAAACGAAACGACAAGCTAGAGCACGAGTCGAATGGAAGAGCATAGGAAGAGTCGAACAGGCAAAGCTATTTCGTGCACTGCTGCTGGAGCTTAGGTTCAGTCGTCAAGCAGCCGCGGCGACGGACACGACACACGGATCAATCGGAAGCCACGCTGTGAGTACGCGTTCGAGTCCTGTGGAGAGCTCTCTGTCACTCTTCCACCACGTCACGGTATCCTCTGTGGCGCGCGCGTTCTCCTTTCCAGTGCCCAGAGAAATCCTCGAGGAAACGTCGCTGCAATTGCACCACAAATAATATTCAAGAGAAGGCCTCGAGAAATGCCCAAAGTTCTCGGCCGAGAACGAGCTGTCCAAGCCAAGTGTCCGCGAGTGTAGGTCCGCCAGTGTGTTGTCAGGGGGTTCTGGGGTTGTTTTGTGGGTGCAGCTCAGAGTGCATAATTATTTGGGTCAAAGCAGGCATCACAAAACAACAAGAACGTGCGAAAGCTGCATCTGGAAACAGCGAACCAAACCAAAGGCAAAAGTTGCGAGTGTTCAGCCCATCATCCACCTGTTATGCAGCTCGCCTAGGCCATATCCAGAGAGCGACAGCGACAGTGACAGCGACAGCGACAGCACCAGCGAGAGCGATAGGACGCAATGGAGGCCAGTCAGCCAGCCAAGGTGCATCGCCAGCACCAGCGACAGCGCCAGCGACGGACGGAGGCACGTCAGCGTCGCCTGGAGCGCGAGGCAGCTGCCACAACCACCACAACGCCGGAGAGGGATGGTGGTCAGGAGGTGATAAGCACTATGGAGGACTGTGCAGCGGCCCTGAACGATTCCAGCTCGATGGGGGCAGGGGGGGAAGGAAGCACTACAGGAGCGGGGGGAACTAATAGCGCCGGTCGCATTAGTGCCCAGAGCTCGGCGGACAGCATTGAGATGGTGGGCTCCCCCAGTCAGACCTCACAGCAGACGGTGGTGCTGGTCAATGGCCAAGAGGAGAGCGCCTCCTTGGGGGCGGCGGCAGAACATCTGGATTCTCAGGCGCCGCCATCGCCATCGCCACGGCCGTCGCAGCCAACGAAGCAGAGCGATGGCAGTCGCAACTCATCCGGAGACGCCATGAGCCTGAGGGAGACACTGCAGCAGCTGCCGGCCACACATGGCCACCACAGGTCGAGGCGAACCCACTCGCCACAGCCCCAGGCCCTGGAGGCGGACTCCTCGTTTCATCGAGGCATCCTGGGCTACATGGATCGCGAGCTCAAGCAGAGCTCGCCCACGCCATCGGCCCTGAGCAGTGGTGCGGGAGCAACTGCAGCCGCAAATGGTGCCGGAGGACATGGGACATCGCGCAAGCAGCAGTCACTCTCCGATCCGCAAGCCAGTCCCGCCCAGCGGTCGCTGCGTTCCCGGAACAGCTTCGACAAGAGTCCGCGACGCAAACGCAGCAAGTCGGAGTCGCGGAGGAGGAGGGAGCGCAAGTTGATAGCCGCCGGCGAAGTGGAAGTGGTCCGCCAGGCCAACGAGACCCTGATGCGCTACCTCAAGCAATGCTCCGACATGCAGGACGCCTCGCTGTCCGGCGAACTAGAAATCGATCAGAGCTACGAGGAGAGACGCGTGCACCGCAAGACCAAGTCGCAGCGGGACAAGCGGGGACAGCTAATCAGTGAGTAGCCAGAGTTCCATTCAGTAAAATCGGGAAAGCTCTGGCCCACCTGCAGACCCACTCCCACTGCCCCAACGATTCTGCGCACTAATGCCCCAATATCTTTGCTTCGTTCGCTCTCCCCTTTTCTGCAGGCAAGCTGTACACGGCGGGGGGGATATCCTCCATACTGAAGGAGCTGGCCGATGACATTGCCCCAGCCGAGGGCGAGGAGATCTACAACCCATTCACACCGGTCGTCTCACCCACGGACGATGCGCCCGCGCACATCGACAAAATGTTTCTGCAGACGTCATCCGGCTATCGACCAGTGGAGCACAGCTACTACAAGCGCTCCTTCCTGGGGGCTGCCGCACGTGGCTCAGGTGGCACGTCTGGCGGGGGTGCTGCGTGCGGCATCAATGGCATCTCCGCTGCCGAGCTGGGTGGAGCCGGTCGTCTCTATCGCTCGCATGGCGGCCACTGCCTTGCCGGAAGCGGTGGAGCAGGGGGCTCAACCAGCGGACGTGGCAGCTATGGTGACACCCACTGCCTGCTCGATGCCGACTTAAATCGGTGAGTGAAATATCCGAAAATTAAAGATACTCGTATATATTGTGGGGTGCGGGCGGACCATTGAAAATACTTGATGGTAATAGCAGTCAGTCAGCAACAACAGCAGCAGTTTTATATCAGTTTCGGCAATATATTTCTCCTCTCTCTCTATATATATATATATATATATATAATTCACTTGGACAACTATATTTATCTCAAGGATATTTGTTATATTTTATTTTATTTTATTTCTCTGTTGCTTCCGTTTGCCGTCTGGTCAGATCGAGAGTCAGGATATATAGTATATAGATAATGATGTAATGGTCTGGATCGATACCAGAGCTGCATATCTTATCGATATTTACATATTTAAACATTATTTGCTGGGTTCGGGAAACATTTTTGTACGCACTGTGGATTAATTTATTCTACATACGAGTAAAACCATTCGCAATAATTCCAGCAACGGCATCACCAGCAGTATACAACTAGCCTGTGTAGTTCAACGAATCTGGCTGCTCATGTCGAATATATGCCACGGCCTGCTAGCTGGTCTAGCATTGGCCCATCTACTGTTTGTGCTGAGCAGCCACCCCATGGACTGGGCAAAGGTCATCAATGGCATTAGTCTTGCTGGCGAGACAATGCCATCCTCATCAACATCATCCACACCATTGGCGATGGACTTGACCACAACAAGAGCTAGCCCCACAAACTTGGGGCTCAATGCTGGCGGAACAGATCCCAGCGGATCAGCATCAGCGTCGGGACCAGGAACATCGGTGACAAGCAGCAGCGATGCTTTAGCCCTGATCAGCGACTATGCGGCATTTGCGGAGATCTACTTGAATACCTTCTACTGCTTGGCCATCATATGCCTGGTTTCGGTGTTCGATCGGTGAGTATTGTCCTTCGGACTCTGGGTTGGATGATTTTCATAGGTATAGCAGTCCTGCGTGTCCTTTTCCAAACAAAATCATTTGAAATCTCAAGTGTGCCTTGCCTCATGGTGGTTTTCCTTGAAACTGTCTGAGACATTGAGTGAAAATCCACTCGCCCATCCCGAAGGTATTCAACGACTGGCCTCAGCAGTCCCTCGTCGGCCTTTGGCTTCATTAAAAGCCAATTTAGGCGGAGCGGCGTGCAACCTTCGTTAGAAAGTTCGCTAAAAATAGACCGAAAGCTGAAGGAGTGCGCCCCCTGACTGGAGGCGGGGTCGCGTCTCAAGAACACATTGACCTCAGAGTTGGGCCTCGCCAGCGCTTTCATTGAGCGGAAAATCCAAATGATAGGGGTAGCTAAGCCCTCCTCTCCTGCCTCGCCCGACTCAATGTGGCCTAGAGTCTAGACCTTAGACTGAGCCGTGCGTTTCCTAAGCAGCACCACGAGACCGTTGAGAATGTAACATCTGATGTACAAGAAATGTGGCTGTGTCGTAGTTCGAATTTGTGTATGGCACTTGTTTGGTTTCGTGGGACATGGAAACAATTTCTATAGCACAATTGCGTGGTCGCTTTCATCAGCCGCAAAATATTTTAATGCCCTTAAACTTTGCTCTTTTTGCATGCCACAGTCGCTGCCCACACAACGCTGCCACTGCCGCCGCCGCCGCCGACGTCTCTGCCTGCACTCTTGACCTTTAAAGGCTGCGCCGGTTGATTGTCTGAGTGGGTGGATGGGTTGCTGGTGGCTTCAGCTTTGGCTATTGGGCTTGGGGTCTGAGTTATCCGCTCTCTGCTCTGGGCTCTGGCTTGGGGGTAAGCCGGCCCCTCCTCCCGAAAAACAGGACCAGGAACGGAACTGTCTGCCGCTGTTTTTCTTTTCGGCTTGCAGAAGTGTGAAACTGTGCATGACATTTCGCTTTTCCCCAGTTGATTTATGTGTGTGTGTGTGTGTGTGGAACGCGACGATGCCACGTGCAAAGTATCTCCCTCCGCTGGCACTCTGGCAGCGGAATCTCTGCGTTGACCTTTCCCAGTTGGCAAATGGTGAACATTGAGAGAATTTTCTCAATTAACAGAAGTACACAAATATAAATGTCAGCCAGGCTGGTGGGCGTCCTACCATCCAACGAATAATTTAGGCCAAACAATCCTGGAGTTCCCTTAAAGGGCAATCAATGCAGCCAGCGCGCTGGCGGGGACATGCGCCCTTTCTCTTTACCTTTTTCTTCTTCCTCGTATACAGTTGTCCATCACGTCGCTTTATAGTACACATAATAAGTAATCATCATCCATAGGGACATACATTTGTATTGGGATACACTCTGGAGCTTATCTAAATCCATTTGTTTCGCTTACAGCATGGACATTTGTCGTTGGAGCTTCTCGAGTGCCAGTGAACTGATCTCATTCCGTTGGCTCATCATCACAATGATCTACGTTGCGACAATAATCCTGACGATCTGCTCCGATTCGATCGATGAAAAGCTGTACCTGTTCAATAACAATGCCAACATAACATTGACCCAACAGGAGTTGGTAAGTTTTTCGCGTAGTTTTATCTGATAATGATGTCTGATTTCTGATCGATGCACTGCAACTCCTTACAGCTGAGCAACAGTGTGCGGGGCGTGTGGAGCAGTCTGTCGGTGACGCGGAGCATTGCCGCCATATCGGGCTGGATAATGATTGGTCTGACGCCACAGGAGGATATGCTGTACGAGCATCTGGTAGATCTTACCAAATATCAATTGACAAATAATTGAATTTAAGGCGTAAGCATATTACAAAAATGTGTAAATATACTCACTTGAACTTGTAGTTGAACATTTAGCAGCTGTTGTTCAGTTATTGGCTTTTCATATGACATAATCCGAGCGCATAGAAATCTTTTATGTATACCCAACATATTAAGCTTTAAAGTCGTCTATTGAAGAAGGTTCACATGGATGCCCTTCACAGGCCGCTAGAACAAAATACAAAATACAACCCAATTAAGTAACGAACACGTAAGGTGGCAAACAAGTTAGCTAACTATGGGAATGTAGCACGATCAGGATATAGATACAATATACTTGCCAGTAGGAGGCAAATTATGAAATATGTACCTACACATATATTTATCATGCGAGTATAACTGTATCCGTGTACTTATGCATACACACATATATACGATATGTTACCTATATAGATATACAGATACTTATACACGTTATATAGATATATACATATACATATACGTAGATATAGATATATACAATACTTGAAATACTTTTTCGTACACATATCGTCTAGAGAAACCAAAAACCGAATGTACTATATGTAATTCTTGCAAAAATCGTACATGAAATGCTTTCCAAAATATAAGCGAAGCTACAGTAGATGATTATTCTATATCGAACGATACGAAAGAACTTTTGTAAATACTGTTAATCGCATGTATGGCCGATATTTATGTACATACTTATATAGAAACATTAGGAAATTATTTACGAATTGTAAGAGAAGAGAATGTTGAATTATATGCAATAATTATATACAATTATATTTAATTATGTACAACATAATTTTCATTTTCATTTCGATTTTTAGGCCATGGGAAAACAATTGTTTCCCAAACACATTTTTAAGTTTAACCGAGCTGTACATAAACCGAGTGCAATAATATAACGAATATAACTGAATTACAATACAACTAACGTACATACATGCATACTATATATATATACATACATATATACAAAGATAATTGGAATTCAGGCGATAAACGATCTACCGAGCTAACGAATCAATCGATCAGAGCAAAACGACGACATGGACATCACATTGTAAACTTGTATATAAAAAGTATGAATGCAAATAAACAGACAACAAAAATTGTACAAAAGTGCTGTGAGTTGATCAATATTTGTCCAATATTTTAGCATACCGTTGGGGTTTTCCACTACGTTCGTCGTCCGAGTTCCTAATTAGCAGTGTTGCACTACCATAGATCGGAATATAAATAATTTAATCCGTAAAATTTGTTGTTGATAAATGTAAAATAATATTCCTTAATTGGCATCCCCTTTTCGGAACATTCATTTATTTATATATTGTTTAAGCTATAATTAAATTAGAACTTGGTTAAGGAGCAATAGCAGCCGTCAGTTCACTTAAGTCTGAGGGTTTGTGATCAGGAGTAACTAATTTTCGTGTAAAGTTGGGGATTCGTTTGCGGATTGGGATGAAAACGTTTGAACTGGAGGATATCGGGCATGAGCTGAGGAGATTTTTGTCGATGTAATGGGTGCTCAAAAGTTTTGTGTGGCCACACTTTCGTGTGGACTGCTGAACATTAATACATGAATGAATCTAGCAAAGAAAAACACTCCATATCGGACACCGCCATCCGAATAGATGGAATCGCCGTCACTTACTCTGCTCGTCAGCAGAAAACCCAACTATCGAGAGCATATATGATACACTTATCCAAATCAGTGGTGTTAAAAATATTCCTCAAGGATATTGCACCTGAAATGGCCATTGAATTCGTATTGTGCAAAAAGTACGTTTCATTTCGTCGTGTGCATTTGCTGGACATGGGTCCGGATATACTAAGTATAAATGAAGCCAGTATACTGGTTGGTCTCGTCACCAGATCCGCAACACTATAAGACCCGGTAATAAAAAATATTGAAAAATATTCTATGAATGCATTTCCATTCCATTATATTTTGATCTTTTCGCTAGGCGCCAGGAGGCGCACTGAACGAGGAAGAGAGAGAGAGAGAGCGACCGCATGGCAGGAGGCTGAGCTACGGGAAGTTCATTTCAGTTCTTGTTTGATTTGGACGAACTCTTATTATTCACTTTTAATTTCGGACATGCCAATATGACTAATTTAATTTTTCATCGATCGGTGGCATCATACGCGAAGCCACGCCTGATGCAGTTACAAGAATGGAGAGGGATACTTATGAAAGGCTTGCCAGTTGCTTATACAGCCAACAAAATTGTGTTATTTAATTTATTCCATACTTTTATAGTCGCAATACAACGCATCCGTATGTATGAAGTCCTTCTAAAATATATTGAGGCAATGTGATCCATCTACAATGGTCTTTGTTGGCTATGATGTTTACTCGGACTTTTAATCGACCTGGAACCAGCTTTGGACTGGAATCCTTATGCAGATTTTGGTTTGTGTCTTGACTGAGTGAGAGTCCTTGCTGTCTTAAGCTCGTGTCCAAAGCTGATACGGGAAAAGCTTTTAGTACTCGTAACAGTAAACCAAATGGTAGCTAAAGGTTCCAAAGTCGATTTATTCGTATGCATATTTCCATGCAGAAATGGGGGCTAATGCAAGGAGTTACTTTTGAGGTCTTGAGGTTTGGTACATAAACAAGGGATATCGCTACAGTGGCAGCATTGATATAATGAGGGCAAGTTCTGTCAAGTATGGATGTGTCTTTCCTTTATGCTCCGGCCAGCAGCAGACTGACATCCCATAAAAGTTTTAATGGCCCCTTAAATGGCTTCAGAGCGAAAACAAAGCAGTTAACGGGAAGGAAACCCTCTCTTCGTTGAGGGGAGTGCTTCGAAAATTTCAAATTTAAATGTTCCACTTGATTTGCCGTCAATTTGTATATATTGTTTCGGCATTTTTGATGTCAGGAAATCTTTTGTGATGTAAATCTACATTGTTAAAATGTCCTAATTAAGCAGATGCTCAAATTTGTGTAAAAATCAAGTATGTATAAAAAAAAGCGGTCCGTGTGGGAATTTACATAAATGATTTTTAAACAGTTTTCCTTGTGATGGCCGAGGGAAAAGTTTTTCTTGTTGGCCAAAGCAAGCGAATAATTTCCTACAAAAAATGAATACATTTTAGGATGTTCTCAGGCACAGCCAGAGCCAGAGCCAGTTCCTCTCAACTATGCCTGTATATGCGGGTAAATATAATGTTAATGCCATGTTTAAAAATCTGTGCCCTTTCTCTTAAACATTTTGTATGCATATACTTTTTTGATGGAAGCCGCAGGCCAACTTTGGTCCATTTAGCATGCTAATGATGTTGTTTCTGTGAAAATTGAATGACTCGTAACTAGGTGTAGCCACGACGATGGAGGGGGGGATGGGATATGCCACAAGCCATCCTTACCGCTGGATAAGGATATGCTGGATCTAAGGTTATCGTGGTAAACGCATTATTATCATTAAGCACTTGCTGCAATTATGGCGCTAATTGAATTTCTAAATGAATATAATGAGTCGACAGCAACAATAGCAACATCAGCGTCATAGACCGGGATATACGAAGCTCTGAGGCTGATCCCCACAACAATGGAAATTATATAATAATAATTGCACAAGCTGCCCCAAACGACTTTTCTATACCCTGTGTTGCACTTAATGGGTTTCAGAATTTAACAATTTACTTGAGACTTGGGATTTCTTTAAAACTATATTATATAATAATTTTTAGTGATTTTGACTAGATGTTTAGAGGGTATAAAAACTCAACCCTGAACAGGACGATGTCTTTTCGTCTGTCTGTTTCTAATAGAAACTTTCAATGCAAAATAGTCGCAAAGTTTTGAACATATGTATATCCGGTTGTAACTTCTATTGATTGCAATCAAGATCTGATCACTTTATTATATACACACATATGTATGTAAATATCTGCCATAAGAACAAGATATTATCTTTAGCAAGGAAATAACATTTTAAATGAATTTTGTAAGACTTGATTCGTGTGAGCTCAACAGCAGTCTCGGAACTAATATTCCCAAAGCCCAAGGAGCTGGATTCCATTGTGGGGGAAAAGGACGAGAGTCTCCTGTAATTAGGTTAAACACACACGTGGCTCCAAGTGCTTACTTGTCTCTCTGTGTGTGCTGCTTATGTGTGTGTGTGTGTGTGTGTGAGCGTGAGTGTGAGTGGGTGCCAGAGTGCTGTGGCCAGGCTGGAGATAAAACGCTACAAAAATGAGGTGAGAAAATGAAATAAAACAACCAACGGCTGGCACAACAAATAAAAATGGCGCGTAATTTGCACGTTTAACCGCATGACAGCGAAAAAATTACATACACAATCCATGAACACATAGCCACAGAGGAACAACTATACCCTAACACCCACACACCCACAGACAAACACACACACGTGCATGCGGTGTCTAAATTACAATTACATGGCCAGGGAGGGACAAAAGCAGACGGGAAGAGGAGAAGCACTCAAGTCCCCCACTGGACAGACTGCCCCTATACGTACTTGGGTAGTTGTGGGGGCCTGCATTGGAGGCTCCTGTGCCGGACATTTGAGCATATGGTGGCATAATTATCCTGTTGCCTTTGCCAGCATCTCGGCTTAGCCATCCAACGTAGTGCCCTTACTCGTGCGGCGCTGCCTGGTCCGAGACGGGTTGATTAATTGAAATATTCGTGGGTCTGAATGAAGGGGGAAACTATGCAGGGCATTATTGACAATTTCCAGCATATGCTAGCTCGACACTTTGGAGAGTCGATAAAGATAATGTGATGAGTAGTACTACTCGTGTCTTACTTAATGAATTTCGAAAGAGTTTCCTTTCATTTTGCCTAAATAACTGTCGACAGGAAGGAATACAATTTTCAAATATAATTAAGGTGAAGAAGTTACCTTCATACCTTCCATACATAATATTGCTTGGTGACTTTTATTCTCGTTTAATTGTTTTACCATGGCTATAGAGCGGATGCACAACTGTGCTACTTATGTACGAGTGATGGCCAGTAGTTCTCAAGCTCCACAGAAGTGTATTCCATTGTCTTTATCATGTCTTTAGTGCTGTGTAAAAACTTGTTGCCTCAACTTTTAATTAAGCCAAGAGTTTGTGTAATGTATCGGAGTGTGTGCCTGCCAGTCCTTGGAATGGGTGAGCAAAATTAACAAATAAGCGTATAAATTATGCCATAACACGCTGACAACGCACGCATACTCATAGAGAGCCCCATATGCATGAGTGTGCCTGCCCAGAAACAGGGAAATATGAGACCCATATGCCGACATGGAGCAGGGCTGTGAGAGACGGGACGGGAACGAAATGGCGCCTCTGCCATTTGCTGTCATTGTCATCGATGTTCCTGCTCGGTCTTACACTGGCCCAGTAGCCAGCAGTTTGTCCGTCTTCGTATTACATTGGCCTTAAAACGCACTGCGTTCGTTCTCGTTCTTGTTCTCGTTGTTGATGGTCATTGCTATGTATGTTCCTGCTGGTCAAACATGACACTTCCCCAGACCCAGCATACAATCGAGGCAACGACTATCCACTGCCCTTATTTGCTATTGTTTCCATTAAATTAGTTTAGAAATATAATATCTAGAGATACGATTTTCTAAGGTATTGTCTACGTCCTTCTACCCTTCTACAATTTAAATGTGACCCAACAGTACATCAATAAAAACAGTTTTATTATTTGATTGACTGTTCACTTTAAGTTACCGGATCCTTCGGCTACCACTGATCTTTAATGCCTCTCACTGAGTAGCTTGGTCAACGTTGAAATCCCTGCTCTATGGAAAGATGGTGCTCTTGGTCACAGGCTGTTACAGATAATAACTGAGATGCATTTATTTATAAATATACAAAAGATTGACAGTTTAAATGTTCTATTCTGCTCGGTTTATTTGGTTTTGCCTAAACTGAGCTACTCCAAGAATGCGCTGTTTCCAGTTATCGGAGGGTATCACTCTCAGACAAACTCATCCCCGCCGGTTAAGTTCTATGTGGCATTTTCCAAATCGCGGACTTGGAGACTTCTTCGTGTATCGGGGCGCGGCTGGACTAGCAGCGATAAGCCTCCGAGCAACAGAATGCGTGAAACGGTCCGCTTTATTGCTTATGACTGCCGCTGAACTGGCCTTTCAGTTTTTGTGTAAAGATTTAACGAGGGGAGGCTACATGCCCAAGAGTAGACAACACCTAACGCCTGGCATAAAGTATATAATAAAAGTGCATAAACTGACCTAAAGGGCAGCAATTATTGTGTGAGCAGAAAAAGCATTTCGAGCGAGGCTTTAAGCTAATGGATTCCATTCCACCAGCAAAACGATCCGTGAACAGAGGTTTGAATTCCAAGATATCATCTTCAGATCCCAGCAAGAACTTATTGTGGAAAATGTTGCCTTGCATTTAGCTTGTTTTAATTTTAAAACTAAGAACTTTAATAAGAATAGAAAAAATTTTAAATTCACTATAACCCAAGTATCCAGACTACTCCGCCTCAGTTGGGGTACTCCAACGATGACTTTGATGCCTCAACATGTTTGTTTTTGATAATTTACGAGCCGAAATGTTTCATTTCATTTTTTATGGCAAATAAATTATGGACCATCTCCCCCTGCAAGCGAAGGCGGCTAAGCCGCCGATAAGAACCTCTGGTTCACAAAAAATACAAAAAGAAAGTAAGGGAAAACCCCAGAAAATAACCATGACAAAATAATGGAAGAAGAACTGCAAACGGATAGAGGGAAATTTATGTGCGTTTATTGATTGCCAACCGAAACACACCCGAAACAAAAAAAAAGGAACAGAAAAGGATGAAAACTTGTCCAGAAACCGAGGAGAATTTATGTAAATTTCACTTTGGTCCTCAGCGCGACTTTTATGAAGACACAGTGCAGCTGAGTCCCGGCTTATAGGAAAACCCCCACCGCAAGTCAAAGGGATTCTGGACTTGGGCTCTTGTCAGTGTTTGGCGTGCAGTCAATGAGCCCTGAAAAAGGAAGTCTCCAAGAGTGGCCTCTTAAAGTGGCCAGGCCAAGGAAAACACTAAAGGGAAATTCGTCCTAGATCTGTGCTAGTGGATTCGCAGAGCCGCAAGAGGCGGGCTAGGCAGAAACGCCACATGTGGGCCAGCCTGCCGCCTATACTTACTCGTATGTATGTGGGTCATTTATATGCAAAGCATATATCCAGGCTCCACAATATACGGGCTCTAATAAGCTGAAGAGCCTGCGACTGGGACTGGGACTAGGACTAGGAGTACACCGCAAGCACGTACTCCAACTGCACCCAGGTAGTCTGGACTATAATTTGGTCTCACATCGAACCAGCAACAGCTGCTAGCATAAATATAATTTCAATAGAAAAAATATGCCAATACGTGTACGAGTATAAGGTCCAAGTGTGGTTCGTGCCCTGTCCGCTCAAACGTGTAACAATAGAAGTTCCTCCACCCTCGAACTCAAGGATTTCCGAAAAAAGTGTTTACGAGATTTATTTCCATACTTATTGCTTAATATTGTTTATCCGTGCCAATACTCGTAAGAACAAACTTTTTTACGTTAATGCTGAAACTTAGCTGAGGAAAAAACTAGTTCATCGAACCAATAGAAGTAAAACTTAGACGTTAAAAAACATATTGAAAAAACTATATAACTTATTTTGGTATATAAAAAGTTAATTGAATAGTTAATGGGAATGAGAATTGGATGGAAATCCACTCAGACATGACCTTCATTGAGAATTAGGGTGTGGTAAAGTAATGATAGCTAGACCACTTGTTGCGAGTCTATATAAGTGGTTTATATTGGGAGTAATATATGTATGTACATTCCTTCAGTTTGACTTAATTCAATTAATTTCACTTTACACAAAAGGTCTTTCACCTAATTATTTCTGTATCTTCACAAAAAGTCTCACAAAGATGATTTATTAAAACTGATAAATCGTCAAAAACCGGGGAGAGGGGCGGAGGGTTTGGGATTGCTCATTTGTTGTTTCTAGGGCAACAAGCAAAAAGCATTATACTTCAGCCCGAGTTGATTTTAAATTGAATGCTAAAAATACATCACAAAAATATTCTCAAGAAATCGCCAGTCGTTGGATGAGATAAATATATGTGTATGTACTCATGTATATCTGTTCCTGCCCAAGATGTATAGATAAAAATGTGTGTAAGTATTTATTTATGAATATGTAGATAAAGGTCAGCGACAAACGCGCGATAGTTGGACAGAAATAATGTTTGCTTGCGAGAGAAATTCAGCACAGAATTCGTTGATATCAAATATGGCAGCTAATGATAAGTGATACTCGTAAGACAATGATTTGCATGGAGAAGGCACCAGGATTCTCATAATAGCCCATTTTAATCCCGATGTTTTCTCATATCAAATCAAAGGTAGAAGGATTTTTTTTATTTGTTTAACAATTAATAATTAATATTAATGGTGGAAAAGGTCTGAGGGGCACTTACCGGAACAAAAGAGGAGAAAGACTGCAAAAATTTATAAAAGGTCTGGCTTGAAGTAAAGTGCAAATAGTCGGCAGTTAGCGGGTACCAAACACACAATCAAAATTACAGTCGTGATTTCGGAGAGCCCTGTCGTTGTCTGCTTTCAAAAAGTAGTCTGGCGTATGCGGCGTATGCGCAACGCAGATTTACTTTACAATGTCAACAGGGCAGGGTGTTCGTCTGGATTATAATATATCATTCTTATGTAAGAGCACACATATATGGGACACGTACTCAGATACAATGTGTACGGGTGGAGTTGCCTGAGAAGTAAATACACATTCATACAAGTACGATTATGCTGCACGAATTTCTCCAAACAGACTGAACATGGGTCGTCTCAGGTAGAAGGTGGTTCTTGTGTATGATAATCGGCTAAAGGAGGCAGCCACTATTCACTTCACTTCTGCCAGAGCACAATATGTGTCGAGCGAAGAGGTGCTTAAAAAAATATGAAACATACATATGTACATACATATGTACATTGTACATATATTCTAGTACATTTGGGGCAACTCCATGGGATTGTGGCCCATCTGGCTTTAATACAGAAATCGCAGGTGCAGCAGTTGCCTGGAGCCTCCGTTGTTGCCTGATCACAATGTCCTTGACTGCTTGTGATTTCCTGCGGAAGTTCTCAGCGAGAGATAAGCAAACAAATTAGAACGTCCGTGTCGACGGGTCCGATTTTTGGATACCCGCTCCTGACAAATGATTGAAAGTATAAGTTCCTGGATTTTTAATATGGAACCCCTCGCAACTGATTCTGTGTAATTCTTCTAATTTTCATTCGATCGTTACACATTTTACAGACATTTAATAGGTAATAGGAAGATTATTAATTATCGTAGTAAGATTTTAGGAAACGATTGAATTTGGTGGGGATTTTATCTCAGATAAATTGTAATAGTTAGTTTGTTACCCACATAACAACAACCGGAATATAGTCCACCCAACAAATACAGGGTATTCAAAATTAAACACTGAATGCCGACGGATGAGCGTAGAAGCGGAAGATTGGTGTGGAGCATGTGTCAAGTGGAAGTCGAGTTAATGGATTGATTAGGTGAGATACATTTATGATCCATTCTCTTGGGCAGAGTAAATATCTTGCGTTCGGATTGCTGATTGGTTCTGAGAAGTCGGAGTTATCCGTAAAGACTTAATAAAGTGGGTTTTGAATTTAATGAAATTATTTTGTTAAATTCCTCGATTTTAGCTCATTTAAAGCACTCATAAAGCACTCACTCATTTCGCTGCCATTCGCTAAATAAAAGCTCAAACTCAACGGCGAAAATTGAGTGAATGCCAGAGACAAACGAAGACTGCGTCGCTCTGCTCGGCTCGGCTCGGATCGGCTCGGGACACGATGCCTTATCAGCAAGTAACCTGTTGGTCGGCGGCAACGGCAGTGCTGCCCATCAGTTGCTTGTATTTTCTCGTGGACGTTGGACGCGAATCGGCAGAAGCGGACCCAGCGGCATTCCCGTGCGCAGAGACTCATTCGATTTTGATAGAGAAAACATATAGGGAATTGTCTCCGGCGAAAGACAGAAATATTTTCATTGTGAAGTGAAGAACAGTGAGCAAGAGAGAGGGGAGTGAAGAGGAGGCCAAACAAGTGCCAGAACGTGCTCGAGTGTCTCCATTTTTGCGGTTTTCTCTTGTGCACACCCGTTTCCCTTTCAAATTGGCATACGCGTACCCTCCTCAGTGCTGACACGCCGCCGGTCGCCAATTTTTGGTTTTTATTTTCATTTCAATTCGAGAAAAACTTTTAAACTTTTCGGTTTTGCTTAATGCAGAACAATAATACCTAACTGCCGGTTAGAGTTTAACTGGCAGCAAATAAACTTGAAATTAAATCAATTTCCCCAAGAACGAGCAGAGAGAAAGAGAGACAGAGGTGAGTGTGGATTAATCATAAAAATGTGTTTGTTAATAAGTTCGACATGTTATTCGGGTGGAGACATGGCCCAAAGCCAGACCCAAATGCCAAAGCCAAAGCCAAGGACAGAGTCAAAGCCAAAGTATAACCCGGAGTATATTCATCGGCACAAATTGAATTCCATCCAACTTTTCCCTCGGCCTCTTTTCGTTTCTTTTCTTTCCATCTCTTTCCCCAAAAGAAAAGTTTTGTTCCACTGCCAAGCGGGAAGGTGGGGATGAAGAGAGGGAAGTCCCAAAAAAAACATTCAACTTTCACTTTGTTTTGCGACAAAACAAATAAGTTAGCAGGAAAAAAAGGAAATAAAATGAGGCTGGTAAAAATAGAGAAAAAGAGAGGAACGGAGATATCCGTAAGCATGAAATTCCAAATGCACTCAAAGGAAAATAAAACTCGAAACAGAGAGAGACACGTATTCCGTTTACTTTTTATGGCAGAATCGAATGACTCGGCCGTGACTGTTCCTTAATTAAAAATGCAAATTTCTTCTAATCTTAATGGAGCTCTTCGAAAACAAGCGCCAGAAGAGCATCCACAAGAGAACGGTCTCCAATCTCTGTAGATTGATTTTAATTGATCCCATCTGACATTCATACCAGTCATCCATCTATCCATTCCTCCATCCAGCCATCCAGCCATCCATCAAATGTTGATTTGATAAGCAAATGCATTGATTGCTTTTGTCCATCCATGGTCAGCTCTCTCCGCCTCTGTCTTCGGCTCTATTCCAGTGAATGCTAATGAGTTCTCTGCTCAGGTGGGAATTGGATATGTTTATGTGGCGTATGCGTAATGTTAATCAGAATTGTCTTGGGGCATAATATGCATATGTGGTAAGGCTGTGGGTGAATGGGAAATAGGCCGAGTTATGGTTTCATAGCCTGAACCAGAACCGTGATCCACGTTGCGTATACGTAATGGCAGAGCAGACTCTCCATATCTGGGCAAATGCCTTCCGAACTAATGTTGCTTCAATGCTCAGCCCTGAAATTATAGTCTGTGCAGAGTCTTGCCGTCATTCGCCAGCCATTTTCCGCTCAAAGAAGCTGGACAGCGAGCGGGAAGCGTGAAGCGGGGAGACGGGGAGGGCAAACGCATTTCAATTTGCATATGCGGACACGCCAATGCCCGCTGATGGCCACTGAAATGGGTCCTCAAGGTAAGCCAGCTCGCCAAAATTTCGCAGTTAAGACCAAAATGGGGAAGATGTTCGCACGGACTGAGATAGCAACCGCAATGTCATCAGTCGATTAAGGTGGTTCTCCTCTACTTCCAGCTCCTCTTCTCTATCTCACACTGCTCAGGCCCCGTCCATTTGCATTTAAATCAGCATGTGGTCGGAGGTGTGTGAGGCAGAGGGAGGTAGATACGGAACACAGTTGGAGGCCACAACTTTTCAGCACATTTCAGGCTGAAAATGTTTTATTTTTACTGTTTGTCAAACGCTCATTGGGAAGAAAAGGGTATATTGTACAATGAAAAGCTGTAAGCAAGATACTATAATTTATATCGGTAGAATTTGTTCCTATAAAAAACTGAATGCGTTTAGTATAAATGACAACCTGCCTGCCTGGTTCCTTTTAGGTATTTCCCAGTCGAGTATCTTCTGTGCCGACAATCGGTTCAACTTGTTTTCCGTATACTCTGGTATACTCTGGTATACTCTGGTATCGCTTTCCATTTTTATTGGTTGCTAAGTTTTGCATAAATTATGCACGAGTCTGCATGTGCACGGGTTTGTTTATGTGTGTGTGTTTATGAGGAAAATGGCTTGATAAGAAATGCGTATAGGTAGCAGGGGCATGGTACATGGGACGTGGGATGAGGGAGTGAGTAGGAAGGGCATGGAATGAATGGCAGAAGGTGGCCTGGATTCCAGCAGCTGCTTGAATTTATTTGATTTCTCACAGTCGCAAGTCACAGGTGACATTTTTATGGCCATTCTGAGCGACGGAGGCCCCTGGTCCGGACTCGAGGACTCCTCGAAACAGTCAACGTCAACAGCAGCCAGTACCCGGCCTCCGAGTGCTGGGACTGGCTCTGGGAACTCAGGCCACGGCGTGGCCATAAAACGATTGGCATTCTCAAGGCCAGCAGCGGTTGCCATTGACATTGCCTTTGACTTGGTCTTTGGTCTTGGGTTCTTTTGAAAGCTGGCCCCACAGCCACAATGTAATCTGGTCTCGTAGTCTGAGGGTCTGGGGGCTTGAGGGGTGGCCGAGCCAGATTCTTGTTTTCCATTGACAGTCACTCAGACGATTGCGACTAGGATTTTCAAATTTCTCCAGAGACCAACGGGACCGGCTTACAGCTCCGACCATATTCCCCACACGGTGTGCCCTTTCGGTGTGCGCTACTAGTTTTGGTTATGATTTCGGTTCATCCAGTTGCTCACTTAACTTTTGTCAATAATTCAGGGCCCAGTGGGGAAACACACGCCAGCAGGGATCCAGAGTAGGGCAAGAGTTTCCTCCAGTGGAACCAACAAAATTAATTGCTTTTCAATTAGACGAACGATGTATATAGTACAGACGGATAGAACGGAACAGCCCAAAAAAAACAAAAACAAAAAATGCCTCGTTGAAGCTTCATGGATACACAGAAACCGCAATTGGGGGTCCGGGGATTTGGATTGAAGTGAGGGCCATTACTGGCTGTGGGCTGTCGGAAAAGGCCTATACCCTGCGGCCAACAGCATAATTAATTTTCTATTCATGAAAGAGTCGCTTGGGCTTAGCCGCTGTGGATGGGTGAACTCTCAGAAAAACTCGAGTATCAAGTGACCCCAGATTTCTTGATTCACTCGATTTTTTATAATTTTCTTGAATAAATGAAAAATATCAACAATCGAAGAAAGAAACTTCAAATATTCAGAATAAATTCAGTTAAATTTAATTTATCACTACTTCCAGAGAATCTCCGTTGACAAAGTTTCACCTATGATTTATTTTAATATACTTATGTGTATTGTATAGTATATAGTATATTCTGTGCCAAAGTTCATGATCACTTGAAGAGTATTTACGGATTCATTATCATGCCATGGTCATCATACCATACTCTCCATGGTCTCCACTATCGTCATCATCCTCATCATCATAGTCATCGCAGCGCTCTATCCCCATTACCATCCCCGATCCCCACCCATGTTGACTCAACCCCATATCGTGTCGAACAGGCAGCGGCCGCATCGCGGTTCAAATATCATTAAAATGCAAAAATTGACGAGAGGCAGAGAGGAACTGGGCAGCGGAGTGGTACTCGTGGCAGGGACCAGGGTTATGCTCTGGGACCACAAAATAGAGATAGCGCCATCCACATAGATAATACACGTGAGTGGCAGGGGGAGCTGAGCTGGCTGCCCGTTGCCCCGTTGTCCGGGCTCTCAGTTCTTGGCTCTTGGCTCTGCTTGGGCGGAGATCTCGTCCACGGAGTGAGCATTTAATTAATTACGTTTGCTGCCTTGGTGCGTTGATTAAAACCCCATTTACAACATTTGGCTGGCATTTAAGTCAGAGCCAAGGGAGTTGCTTATTAATTTGCATACTTAGACTGGGCCAGAGGGCTGCCCCACAGCCTGCCACTTTCTGGCTGCACATATTGCACAAAAAAATGTACATAACGATGAATCGAAATCGAGACGGGTAAGCGGATACTCGTAGTAAGGCACCGAAGGTCAACCGAAACGTTGGTGGGCCCCCCAGGCTTCGATAACTTAATAGTTTTAAAGCATCTGGTACGCCACAAAAGGTCAAGTTCTCAATCTGTGTGAAATGGTTTGGGTGGCTTATTTTTAGTTTTTATTTTTGAAGATTATGGGAGGACAACAACCGTTTATGAAAAAATCAAAGAAATTGTTTAAATAATGAATAGTATTTATAGAAAAATTAAATTCATTCGCTAGGGTTATCTATATATATGTATATATAAATTAATCCCTATTTGCCTTGATTTCGCTAATTCTTTTTTGTTGTGTTTGTTATTGTCAGGAGAAGGTTCTTATGAAAGAAAGAAATCTATTAAAAAATTAAGAAAATTGAACGGAAAATTAGAAAATTTCAGAATACTAGGAAAATGTTAGTATTGTTGTATGAAGTAGGACTTTCCAGGCTGGATGGAAAGTGTTACATAAATCAAAAAATAAATTCATTCGGTTTAGTGTGCTTATATTGTACAGATAAAGTAAATCTGTTTAGAGCGATTTGGATAATTGTTTAAAAATAGTTTAAAAGTGCCTGTTTGATGAAAACATGTGAAAATTGTGTGGAATTTTGTTACATAAATTTTTGATCTGTTTTGAAAATTGTTTTCTGTGAGTATTATCATCATTAATATATGTGTACATATTAAAAAAAGATTCTGCACAAGAAGGTTTTCAAATACGAATGAGGAAAAACGGGAATCCGTACGAGAGATAATAACACGAAGAATCCATATGCGTAGCGGGATACGGAATGCGAGTCAATCAACTGAAGATTCGGGAAACGGGAATGGAATATTGTGCACTTTTGCAAAAACAAATTTATGTTGAACGTATTATTCGACTCAACCAATGCAACCACAATGTGCCACAGTGAAACGTGGGAGAGTACAAATATTTCTTGTTTTGTAATATAAAGTGACGTTAGATTTTTGTAGAATATTCTCTTTCGGTTTTTTAATGTAAAAGGAAGACAGAAAAGTGTTGTTAATATTGTTCGACCCTTGTAGAAATCGTTGCCTTCACGCTCCAGTATTATTTGTAATGTAGATAATTTGGGACCAATCTCCCAAAATTTTCTTCATATTTTCTGTTGCCAATTTTGATTTAATTTGCCAAGACCTTTGTTAATTATTGCACGTATTGAAGCTATGCCAAGGCAGAAGACTGAAGCTTCTGACTGGACACGGGCTTCTCATTATGACTGATTGGCTGAATACATTTCCACAGTGCACCGCCTTCTGATAAGGACAATGAT